CCTAATTCGGAAAAAATCTATATTTTTCTTCTTTCAAATCTATTTTCATTAAATCGCATATTCTAAATTAATTGCTTTACTGGAACACCTCTTTAGTTGCATTAATCGTATACCAATTTCGGAATATGTTGAAAATTTATTAATCCCGCTAAAGTATTTATTATTTATTTATTAGCTTCATTATTTTAATACCATATCAGTTACAAACTCCATTTTGTGTAAAAAAATTAAATTTTCCTAATAAAAAAATTTTTTTCTATTAAAATAAATGTCAAAATTTATATGGCATGTCTTTAAAATTTTGCTCCAGTTGCATAATTTTAATGTTTTCAGATACCAAATGGCGACTAGATTTCAAAAATATTTTTTTCAAATTTTTAAATCGCACCCAATGTCAGAAAAATGCATTTAAAAATTTCAAACCATATAGGTACCGTTTCTTATAAAAATTGGCAAAAATAAAAAATCTAACAATTTTTTTTACCAAGAAAAGTTTCGAAAAAAAATTTTTGATTACTAGATTTTTTTTTGTTTTTCCAAATACAAAATTCTAGTTTTTCTTTTCAAAATTTGAAATTTTTTAAAATCAATTTTTGTTTTTCAAATTAAAAGTTTGTATAAAATTTCGTTCCAATTTTATTACTTGTTACATTTAAATAAGAACATTAAAATTCAGACTTTTTATCAAAATAACGGCTCTTAAAAATATCAACTGTTTTTTCGAGTGACTCTCGTTATCCAAAATTAATGATAGTTGATAATTACAGCGCTTAGTAGTAAGCAATAGTGAAAGATAGGACATTTTAAATCTTGACATAGAAATGGTTTTTGTGCTGTATCTTGCATACCTTAAAAATTTATTTAATGTTTGAGGGCTTAAATTAAAGCGTAAGCAGCTGGATAAACTATAAAAAAAAAAAATTAATAATAAAACAAGGTAAAAATTTGATTTTCCCTAAAGTTCGAATGCTTGGTATTCCGAAGGCACATAAAATACAGAATCAAATAACATGTTTATTTTAAGCCGTTTACTAGGCCTTTCAGAAACTGTTCGTTTGAAGTTCCTATCTTTTATATAAAGATATAATCAAAACAACTTGGATAAGTAAAACTTTCGTGAAAATTCGTTAAAATCCCTGGAAATCGGAAACCCTTGAGTTTTGGCACCCAGTCCGGAACAAAAGTTTTACCCATTTTCGACCCTCTAACCAATGGTATATGTTGTTGTATACCTTTCTGAATCACAATATATATAAGTAAAAATTAATTCAATGTAACAACAAAAGGTAATAAAATATTAAAACCTTTAATATACTCACATAATATGAGCATATAATATGTGCAACTATTTGTGCAAATTGGAAAAAAATGTAAAGTATTTTATTACGGTTAATTAGAAAGGCATTAATTTCATTTTTTATTTTTTTTTTTATAATTCTGTTATTTTGCATACACAAAGATATACCTACTTTCCTTTAATCTTTTCTTACTTCATTCTTAAGCATTATAATAACTTTTCTTTCAACCTACCCATATTATAAAATTATTAGAACAACGTCTTTTATTTTTATTTATCTATCTATTTTTAATCATCTGTTTCGAAAAAGAAAAAAATAAATAAAATTACAGATTTTTTTTTTGTTTGGTTTCTTATAACAACACCGCCTCTTTACACACAAAACAAGAAGAAAGCTATTATTAACTATTTTGTAGTATTAGCCATACATTTCGTATATGTACTATTAAAAATGTTGAACTTTTAACCATTATAATCGCGAAATGACTGCATAAGTAGCTGAGCGCAATATAAAAGCAAAATAAAAAATTAACAATAAAATATCTAAGTTAACATTGAGCTTATATGCAAAAATAAAACAATAAAATAGTAAACTAGCTAGTGAGAAAAAAATTGAAAAGATTACAATAAAACCAATATCCCTCTCTGATTTCCCCCTTTCACTCTTTCTCTTCTCCCATGTTTACTCTATTTATTTCTCTTTTGTTTTAAACTAAATTATTGTAATTTTTAATGATTTTGTTAACATTTTATTGACGCAAATGATCGTATATATAGAATTGACTCTTTGAAAAGAATACGGTCTTAATCAAAATACGAAATATTTGCGAAATTTATAATATCCTTTGAATTTTTGTTCATACAATTCGGACTGTTTTGTATGGGAATTAAATATAGGAATTTGCCTATCGATAATGTAGTTTTTTTGCTCTCATTAATTAATTGTAATAACAATTTAAAAATCTCTTTTTTAAAAATACAAGTGTAAAATTTCAAAATTAAAATCTTATTTAAAATTGTTAAAATATTACAAATAAAATATTACAAATAAAAAAACAATAAAATTATTATAAAATTGTTAGAGAAAACTCTAAAATAAGAACCTTATTTGTGGATCCCATTAAATTTCAAATGCAATTGACCTACCTTATTAATAGTTCTATTGCACTTGCTTATTTGTTTTCTAAACATGATTTAAAAGAGAAGAAAAAATTGAATTTGAAAAAGCTGAAAGAAGATAGAGAAAAACAAAAATAGAAAATAACCAAAAAAAAAAAACTGTTTTTTATTTTTATTTTTCTTTGATTGCTCGATTTATCGTCATTTTATTGAGCTTGTTAAGTTGTAAACTTTTTTTTTGTTCAAGTATATTTTTAAACAAAGTCAAAAAAAAAATATGCTTATTAGATTTACTCTGTGCGTCCGTACGTGTTTACTTACAACACTTCAACACTCTTTAAGAAAGAAACCTGAATTTTTTTTATATGTATAAATGAATTTTGGCAAAAGACCCATTTCAAAAATAAAAGAAAATACATTTACCTATATCCATTACCTTTTAAAGCAGCAGTCTCTCAAAATCGTCAAATGAAACCACAACAAATTTTTTTTTAATTCCTAAAACGCATAAAATAATGAATTTTTTTTACTCTGTTGCAAAACACCATAGTCAAAGATGGTAAAGTTGTCTTATTAAGGATGGCGTTTAAACTAATAGTTGTCTTATTACTAATAATAATAAATATTAGTTTAAACTAATAGTATTCGTTTTACTTCTAAAATTAACAAAATTTGAATTTTTAGCAAAATTCTCTCACATATTATTATAATAATACTTAATGCATCTTTTAATTTTTATTCGACCCTAAAAGTATGCAATTATAATTTTATAATATAATTTTGATATAGCCAATAACATTAATGATAATAATTTAATCTTGTTCAAGAGAAATGTGCTATTTAAAAAACCATTGGTTTGATCTGAATTTATTTAATTAAATTATATATTATTTTACTCATATATAAATCATAAATCTATTATTATCGCTGATCATATTTGAGCGTACATACATATTCTGAATATTGCAAATAAGAAATAATAATATAGTTATTTAAGAAAAGGTATTCTCATGCCTGTTTTTCTAGCTAATATACTTTATAAGAATACACACATTTTCATAATATATGCAATAAAATATTGTTGGTGGTATATTACTGGTATCATAACAAATAATAATTGTGAACTAGTTTCAAAATTTGTTCACTGACCTATATTTCAGATTTTTTATTATATAGTATAATAAATACATTGTAAAAAAAATAACTATGCGTTATTATTAATAGCGTTATATGTGCATATAAGCACAGACACATGTATTCTCTACGTACACACTATAATTTCATAAATATATATATATATATATATATATATATTATTTTATTATTCACAATCAATTTTAATTCACGCAAATATTCACAGTCAATTTGAGTTATCCAAAAGTATATCAAAAGAAAATCAAATAGATTTAAATTTAATGTGGAATTTTTGATTTCTAATAGAAAAAAAAAAGAAAGATTTAACAGTTCAGGATCGAATTTATTTGTAATATCTCCACCTACATAACGTCGTTGTTTCAATCAATTTATCTTGAAAAATGAATTTAGATCCTGCAACGACTTATTTAGGCAACAAAAAATTGTTTATTTTAAGCTTTCTATAAAATGCGCACATTTCTTCAGAAGAAAAGAATTCCGTTTTACAGTTAATATAGTTATATAGTTAATATTCCGTTATTGGGAAATTTACAAAATTTTTAGAAAGCAACTATATGCTTCTTTGTTTTTAATTATAACTGAATTTCTAACAAAAGAGTGTTGATATTGCCTTTATAAAATTTTATCGTAAAAATTCACTTAAATTCAAAATACCAAAAATATAGTAGTGTTTCCTATTTTTTCAAATATTTAATAGTAGAAAATTTCCTGTTATTTCTTTCAAATACTCAAACAAACTTTTCATATTATGCCAATATTTTTAACCAAGGACGAATCTAACATTTTTTATAATTTTATGCCTTTGCTACAAATTTAAGAGTAACAATTTTAACAATCTAAACAATCAGAGTCGGTCCTATTGTTCTTATTCTATATACATATTTTGCTCCATTGTTTTATTTTAACTAAGAAAACATACCTTGTGACAAAATGTAAAAAATTACCTAAAAAGATGAGGAACCTGACAAAAAACACTTTCATTTTAATTTTTGATGATGTCAACGAAATTACTTTAACAACGTTTTATACATAGCCATACAACTTAGTTTTATTTTGTTTCTTCATTTTGGAAATTAATTTCCGAAAAGTTTTGCCAAAAAATTAATTAATTTATTTATTTATTTTTAATTTTATCTAAAGAAATTTAACATTTTTTCTATAAAACGGTCATATACAACAAATTTTCAATTTCCTTTTTAATTTTTTCAGTTTGGTAATGCTATACAACGAAAAAAAATCTGGTAATACTGTACTACAATATTCTTATTGTTAAATTTAAATGTCAAATAATCCTTTCAGACCGTAATATTATTGTAGACATTATAAACTAGACAACAGAATATTTTTTAAAACAAAGGCTTTCTTAATATAGTAAATAAAATTAAATTTAAAAAAAAAATTAAAATGGTAAAAGATTGTGATTATTTTTATCAAAAAATTGGTAAAAAATGTGGTGAAATTTTAACCAATAATATAAATAATAATGAGACATTTTCATATTTATGTACACTTTGTATTGAAATATATGAAAGTCTAGAAAATTTTCAAAATCATTACAAAGAAAAACATTCAGCACAAAATAAAGCAATCAATTCTACTAATTGTTTTGATAAAGAACATAATGATGATAATGAGGATTTAATTGATATTTCATCAGAAAGTTCAATTGATTCATGCGATAAAGTTCAACTAGAAACACAATCATTATCCTTGGATGAAGTCGATTGTACTACTAATAAAAAGAAAATTATTCACACAAAAACTAATGCAAGTAATACAAAGCAATATGTAAAAGGAATAAAATCTATAAAAAAATTTATTTGTTCAATTTGTGGTAAAAAATTTTCTAAAAAAATAATATTTTTCGCTCATAAAAAGAAACATTTTCCACAAAGAATTACAAAAAGGATTTTTAAGAATGAAATTCAATCAAAGTAATTTATATTAAGTATAAAAACCTGCGGATTCCTATAATAATACCAAAGAATTGCTATTAACAATATTAATTATACATATTTATTTTCCAAAACGTTACATTATAAATTAATTTGTATTTTATGTATAAATTTAATATTCAATTGAAATAAATTTTCATGAATGAAAAAGGGACGAAAAAAAACAATCGTTTTTGTTTAACAAACACAAAATAAATAATTACATTCATATACATATACAGATCCTGTCAAATACAAAAGCAAAAAAAAAAAACAGAAAAAAATATAAAATACCACGTAACTTCTTCTTTCTGCAGTTTTCTTTCTTCGAATTAAATGCATAATTATGTACAAGTTTCGCACCGTATTGTGTTCTCTCCAAAAGATTGTTTTTTTATTATAATAAATTTTTCATTAGTTTTGTCAAAATTAAAATTTGTTTGAAATGAAAAATATTTTGTGAGAAGTATTTCGTTTTCAAAATATTTCATCTGATGAATATGTCAGAAACAAAATACAAAAAACAAATTACACTACTGTCAATGTTATGTAATTTAGTTTTCAATAACTCGACAGCCTTTTTCATCTTTTGATTTGTTAATAAATGGTGGTAATCAGGAGCCGCCATACGAACACAGTAGAAAATACAGGCGAATGTAACATAAAACCAAGGACATATTCATATATTTTTCTGTTTAACATAATCTTGTTCCGTTTTATTTTTTTATATTGCTTCATTTTCTTTGAATTTTTCAAAATCGTGTGAAACTTTTTTTCGAGAATCGAAAAAATAATTATGAGTTGATAAATTACAAGTTGTTAGACGGAAAGTTTTTGGTATTTTATAAAATTGGGGAACTAAACCCAAAAGATATTTACAACTATTCACAAAATGTAATTGCAAATACTTGTAATTTAGTGTAAACGGGCACAATAATTGAAAATTCTCTGCTGAAAAATATTTTTAAAATATGGCAATACCGTGTACATAGTACAATATTTTTATTTCACTGCATATCGACTATCGAATTTATTATCATAGGGTTAATTTGCGAAAACTAATTTTAGTTTACGAATCTTTTACGAATAGGTCCTGTTTTAATCTTAATATGTAAACAAATTTACATTTTACAATACTAATTTGATAGGAATGGAACAAATAAAAATTGAATTTAAAAAGGAGTTTGGGCAAAAATGTGGTGAATTATTCATATGTTCTGGATTATTGAATTATCGGTGCCTGTTTTGTGAAAGTCTAAACACAGAACAAGCAAGCTTTCAAAACCATTTAATCAAAAACCATGGACTTATTTTTGATGAATGTATAAACAACGCTTCAAATCAAAGTTGTAGTGATGAAAACTTGGAAATAAAACCTTTTGAATTAATACATGATATAAGTGATGGTATTACAAACTTATCTTCATTAAATGTAAAACAAAGTGCAGAGAATGAAAAAAATTTGGAAGATTCACCTTCAGAAGAGTGTGAGTCTTTATATTCTGAAATTTCAAATAATTTGAGCAAAACAGAAGAAACTCTACCAAAAAATCCAATAATTGAAGAGGAAAGTATTGATACCGAAATTTCTGAAAAACCAATTCAAAAATGTCGTGTTAAACCATTAAGGCAACTTCCCTGTCCACATTGCGATCGAGTATATCAGAGGCCAAAATTATTAAAAGCTCATATTGAAACTCATTCACCTGGATATTTAACTTGCAAAATTTGCAATAAAACTTTAGCAACTAAACAAAATTTGGATACACATATGAAAATACACAGCGAACAATATCAAAGATGTCCAATGTGCCCAGCCAAATTTTCTAGGAAAGGCAATTTAAGTCAACACATAAAAAGGCATTCCAAAATTAAATCATATGCTTGTAAATATGAGAACTGTAATTATAAAGCTTTGTATCCAGCTAATTTACGTAACCATGAAAAATGTCATACTAACTTAAGAAAAGAAATATGTGAAATATGCGGACAAACATTCAAAGAAAAAGGTCACCTTAAAGAACATCAAAAAAGACATAATAATCAACGTGATTTTCAATGTAACAAATGTGATAAGAGATTCTATGATAAAAAAAGCCTTGCTGAACATGAAAATATTCATACTGGTGTTAAGAATTTTGTGTGCCAAGTATGTTCAGTTCGCTTTTCTACTAATAGAAATTTACGAGCTCATATGAAAAAGCATTCAGGAGTGAAATCTTATATTTGCAAGTATTGCGGGGATGCATTTTATTTATATAGTGAGAGGCAATATCATATTAAATCTCGGCATGGAAAACCTAAGTAACGTCATATCCAAACTTTAAAATACTATTATGCATATAGATCGATTTTCATGGAATAAATTTTTTTTTATTAAAAAAGGAAAAAATACAGTTCACATTTTTATTTATTGGAAAATGGAATGTTCTTTATCATAATATAACAATATGTAAATTATTATTAATAACATATAGGTACTTATTTAATTTTATATTATTTCTTTATTTTCTAAAAAGTAAATAGGTATTCAAAATTAGGTCACGGGCTCAGACAAACTGCACTTATTGAATTTGTTTTAATTTCTATACATAAATTGGGATCATATTATTTTTTATTACCTCTTGTTCTAACATATTTGGTAACATTTGTTGTAATGCTTCTAACTTAAAATTAAAGTTTTTAAAAAAAGCTATTCTTGTTAATTTCAAAACTGAATTAATACGATTTTTGGGGTTTAAATTTAATAAACGTTTAAGTAAATCTTTTGCTTCTGATGACAGACAATCAAACTCATATGGAAAAAAATTTAAATCAACATTGTACTTCATTTCACTTTGATCAGTTCCTATTTTTATTATAGATTCGCTATTCAATATTGTTCGTATATCTGGATACTCATTTAAGAGCATTCTACATGTAATTACGCCTAGTGACCACCAATCTGCAGCGTGGTCATAATACTCTTCACGTAAAATTTCAGGAGCCATATATTGAAAAGTTCCACAAATTGTTTTTGTTCTGTTTCCAATCTTCAGCCATTTACTAAGTCCAAAATCTATTAGCTTTATATGATAATTTTCAGAGAGTAAAATGTTTTCCGGTTTTAGATCACGATATATTATACCAGCATTATGTAGAAAATCTAAAGCTAGCGATATTTCAGCTACATATAATCTAATTAATTCGAATGAAAAATTACATATCTTATTAAAAAGTTCTCCTTTTGGCACATATTCCGAAAGTATAAATACATTATGACGATTTTGCCAACAAGCTATAAAGGTTGCTATAAAAGGATGGTGACTACATACCTTATGAATATCAACTTCTGTCTTAATTTGTTCAACACAATTTTCTTGAATTATAAGGGATTTTTTTAATATTTTTAAAGCATATTCTTGATTACATTCGTCTAAAACTTTAATTACAGTACCAAAAGCTCCTTTTGCAATTAAAGTCTGTTTAGTGAATTTTTGCTCCTCAGATGATAATTTAAAATGCGTTATAAAAATAGTTATATGTGATGGCCTAGGCCATCGTGTTTTTGAACATCTAACAGATGACACTGAAAAATTTGTCCGATTACTTTGAAATGATCGATTGGAAAAAAAACTAGTTGATTTTGAACCATACGCAAAAAATTCAATTTCTCGTTCTTCACAACTCGACTTTGCAATTTTAACCCTTGATAATTTTTCAGGCTTTTCAAAAGCATTTCCCATCAATTTTTAAAATAACATTTATTTATGTACAATTACTACTTGGTTAGATACTTCAAAATATATTTACATGTTATTATTTTTGACAATGCTTAAAATGTTATTTATATTAAATTATCTAAGTGCCAGGCTACCAGCCGTCACAATTAAGTTCGATTGCTCCGATCATCGTGTCATAAACAAACAAAATATATAAAATTTCCTTTATATTTGTTTTCTAATTGTAATTGTGCCACGTCCGGTGACATGATAAATAGTTGCGTCTAAAGGTACAGTACAAACGTTTTGCCGTTATATTATAGCCATTCAAGCAGTGTCACCTGAAAATTGGGCTCTTTATAAAGGAAAAAGCATGACTGTAATCAAAACTGTCAAATATCGTAAAATATAGTAAATAGTAAATGTGGAAAAATAATAGTAATGAAGTGTTCATTTCTTTTGAATTAAAACTTAATCCAAAAAACTAAATTTGAACTCCATTTAATAACAAAATTATATTTATTTTCAGGATTTGACTTTTTAATAAAACTTACATGGATGTTGAGACAAAAATTGTCTTTTTGGGATAAAAAAAAATTAAACCAGACAGGAAACTTAAAAAAACTTTTAAAAACTTTTTTATAGACCTTATAACAGACAGACCTAAAATGAATGCACTTATGTAGAAGGATAAATATATACATACAACAATAAAGAGCCTACTTCCAAATGAAAAATGTAATCTTTATTTCAAATTGTTTATGTATGCATTTGAAAAAAAAATTGTTTTTAACTTAAAGTTAGCTGGAATTATTAAAATTTTTTTATTACAAAATTGTTTTGACAAGTCACTTAAAAATTTGATACCAGTTTTTTCTCAGTTATCAGTTTTTCTCTTGACATAAAAAAAATTATCTCAGTCAGTGGTGGTTTTACTTAAGTGAAGTGAAGTTCTGAACAGATGTCGCTGACAGCTGAGCTGTGATAAGAGTATATAATATATTTGATGCATTTTAAAAAAAAAAGCACGAATTTGTGGAGTTTTTTTGTAAATTAATTTTGTAATATTATTATGAGATAAAGCTATTTGAACGTTTGCTCTAAAAAATGCACAAAAACTAAATTTCAGGAATCTAGACAAAAATTTTAGAAAAAATAATTTTATTTGAGATTAATCATGTTAGAAAATGCTCTTTCTAACTTTTGTCTAAACAAGTATAAAATAAATATTTGTCGTTGATGAATTGTCATACTTCCTCAGTGTCCATTATCGAGGGCTATCTTTGCCAGTCGTGATACAGATTATAACTTAATATAAGAAGCAGCAGATCAAAGGTAATTGCAGTAGAATGAAGTAATTTTTGCTTTCGGCAAAGAGTCTAACCTGCATATGTATGTACATTTTTACTTATGTATGTATATCACCAAATATTTGTCTTGTATCTTTGTAGGAGTCTACTAAGTTATTTTGTAATTCTGAAAAATTATATGGGCTAGAAACAACCCATTTTGTTTAAAACCATGTCTTGTAGAAAGTGGTTTAATACAGTAGAAGAATTTATAAGCCACCATAAAAGTCATATATCAAGTGATAATTCAGATAAACAACAAAGCAGTGAAGAGGAAACTTTTCACTTTCCCAAATCCAATGAAAAAAATTTAAGAAAAAAGCAATTTGTGAGTGAAGAAGACAAAAAAATTAAAAAACTCTTTATTTGTAAGGTATGCAACAGAACCTTTCAACGGCCAACCAAATTTGCAGCTCACGAAAAAGCTCATTTAAATAAGGACTTAAATTGCAAAGAATGCGGGAAGATTTTGCTTTCTGAAAAAAGTTTAAATCATCATGTAGCATGGCATTTTCGCGAAAAATTTTTTTGTACAATTTGTCCTAAAAAATTTTCTCAAAAAAATCATCTAGTAGATCATCTTAGAAGACATGCCGATGATAAAGTAATCCGATGATATGACCAATATAAATTATAAAAAAATGTTAATCTTGCATGTACCGAATTAATATTGTGCTCTTATTTTTACTCTTTATAGCCGTTTAAGTGTGACGTATGTAACTGTCGTTTTTTACATAGAAGCCATCTAAAGCATCATAAACAATCACATTCCAGCGAAATAAATTGTATTTGTGAAGGTTAAAAAGAAATAAAAACCATATATATATATAATTTATATTATTTCTTTACATGATTTACTTTGCAGAGTGTGGTCAGCAATTTAAAACATTTTATAATTATAAAGAGCACATGAAGAGACATAAAGGCCTTCGAGATTTTGGTTGTGAAAAATGTAGTAAGTTACATATTTTGCTTAAAACCAAATGTAACATTCATTGTATATTTTGCTCATATTTTTAGATAAAACATTTTATTCAAAACGAGCTTTAAAAGATCATACAATAACACACACGGGAGTAAAGAAATTTGAATGCACAACATGTAATTTAAAATTTGCGAGAAAAACATCATTAAACGTCCATTTAAAAACCCATTCATAGCAAAAAATTTTGTAACGAAACAATAAAATTAAAATGCAATAATTAAAATTTTATATTTAATAATGGAATTTTAAATTAGGTTTTAGTTGAAATTGATTGAACGCCATGCTTTTTCTTCATATGATAAGAGATATCGTTGTATAAAGCAAAAGATTCACCACAAATTTTGCATTTGTAATTTCTAATGCCAGAATGTTTTTTCATATGGCAACGTAAACTTTTCTTTCTAAGAAAATACACGGAACAAATATTGCATACAAAATTTTTTACACCGATATGTCCAACTTCATGGTCTTTCAATGCCTTTTTATCAAAAAATTTTTTCTCACAGTGTGAACATTTAAAATCTCTTTGATTAGTATGTCTTTTAATATGTTCCTTTAATGCTGTAATATTTCTAAAAGAGCGCCCACAGAATTCACAAACCTAAAAAAAATAAAAGTATTAGCTTAATCTTATAAGCGTATATTTTAAACATGATTACTAGTGGTTTCTCTCCAGTATGTGTTAGTTCATGTGCTCTTAAAGCTGAACTAGTTACAAAACGGAAATCACAATTTTCATATTCACAAGCATATCGCCTTTCATTAGGATTTTGATGGCGCAACATATGTTGCGTTAAACTACCCCTTCTTGGAAACTTAGCATCACACACATTGCAACTAAATCCGTCTCCTGTATGTATTCGCATATGCGATTTTAAATTAACTTTTGTTTTTAAGACTTTTCCACAATCGGGACAAGTTAAAAAACCTGGAGTATGAATTTCCATATGAGCCTTTAGTTTTTTTGGTCTTTGATATATTCGTCCACAAATTTCGCAAGGAAATTCCTTTTGTTTCTCTTTTTTAGTAACTTTTTTTCTCCCACGGTTAACTTGCTCAGTCTCTTCAGATAATACATTTTCTTCAACTTTACCTATATCAGTTTTAATATCGTCTTTTTCACTTTTCAATTCTGTTAAAACCTCCTGGTCATTCTCGGATTTTTCACATTGAGAAACACGAAACGACTCAAATTGAAATTGAATCTTAATTGAACTTTATTTATAAAGAAATTCTTTAAAAATAAACCTACTTCAGTTCCGCTTGAAATATCTGAACCATTATTTGAATAAATTTCCTCTTTACTTTCTTCTTCTGGACAAACTAATTCTTCATTTGCTTTCAAAACTTCTTGAAACTCATCCTTTTTTTCACACTCTAAATCCAATAGAGTTGAAGAAAATGAGGACTTCAATTCATCAGCAGAAGAGTTTTGCAAAATATGGGATGATTTTGATAATAAATCAACATCGAATTTGATATCACTTAGTTTATGCTTTTGGGTATAGTGTGTTTGAAACTCGTCTATGTCAGAAATATTCTTGTTGCAAAACAAGCAGTTATAAGTAAAAACATCATCAATACAATATATATCACCACATTTTATTCCAGGAGAGCAAAACATTATACACGAAACGGAAATTGCTTCGATTGGTTCAATTGCTCTTAAATTAGTTTATTTTATAATTTGTATTTCGAACATATAAGTCAAATTTTTTCCTTAAAGATGTTTGTAAACAAGTTCATTGAACTTCAAACATTGTATCGGTCGTTTTCGAGAATCGAAAAGAAACTTCAAAAACATATGTGATACGGTGATATACCAGGCAAGTATGTCATTCTCTGAGTTTACACCGCATAATATAACTTTGCAGTAAATTTGTACATGGATATTAAAGCGTTATACCTATTCGAAATTTAATATTTTTCGTTCATTATTTAATTTTTTAAGGCACGTTTGTCTTAGACACAAATTAAATTAAGTTTTGATCAATTATAGATCGGTGGTAAAGGTTATTAATTGCATTTATGCTTTTTCTCACGTTTTAGTTTTCTTCTCCATACTTGAAAATCAACTTGAGCGAAAAACCCATACAAAGCTTTAGGCAAGATTTACAAATCAAGCAAAATTTGACAACTAAATTAGTTTAAGTTTTCTGTTACTTTAATTGTTTTTTATGACATATTTGACATATGGAATTTATGTATGTATATGAATGTATACATATGTAACAAATATTCTGTAAATGGGTAAAATTAAAAAAAATTGAAATCAGTACAATTTAGTTTGATTGGGTATCAAAATTTGATTGGTTTTGCCGATGTCTCAAAAACAAAATTAATTTTCAAATTCAATAAATTTATATAATACTCGGCAATAAAAAAGAGCAATAGAAAAACGATTTTTTAAGACGTTTTAAAAAAAAACTAGCTTCAATGCTTTGCTTTTTCCATTTTTCTCAGTTATTTGCCATTTCACAATTAATGTTATATAAATTTTTTGCCAGTAACTTGCCTGTGTAAACGGACTGCAAGATAGAAGAAAAATTCCAAGTGTACATACAAGTTTTTTTTGCAAAAACGGAAACCCGTAGTTTTTATTTAATTCAACGTCAATAAAAACTAAAACTGTTGATAACGCAAGTTTAATAATTACTGAAAGAGTTTATTGACAAATAATTTTGAAATATTTGGAAAAACTTTTCTTACTTTTAAAATTTTATTCCTATTGTCTATATGAATTTATTATTGAAGTCTTAAATGGATAATCGCTTTTATGATGAAGTTCTTATTAAAGCGGAGATTGAAAATATTTCTGAACCAATTGTATATTTTGAAAATTTAATACCTGCCAAATGTGGCATAATATTTATTTGTTCGAATTCAACTTTTTATATAAATTGCATAGTCGAAAACTGTACATTAAACAAAAACTTTTACGAAGTTAATTCTTTTATTGAGCATATCGGAACTAATCATCAACATTTAATTTTTAGTGAAATATCAAATAAAACCGAACCATTTGAATCTGCGGAAGCGATACAAAAAGTCAATGCAGAGAATGACAAGCTTTTGAAAAAGATAGATGAAAACAATGCAATTGGAAATGTGAAAATTTTATTGGACAAGAATCCCTTACAAGAAGATATTCAAAAAACAAGTGAAGACAATTTAACAGATCTCACGTGTAAAATATGCGGGAAATTATTCCTAAAATCTAGCTATTTAAAAAGACATTTGAAAAGACTTTGTAATGTTGAAAAAGTTAGATGTCTTGAATGCAATAGAACTTTCAAAAATGATTCCTACTTGCGTTTTCACATGGTTGTTCATAAAAAGGACAAACCTACAAAGGTTAAGAATATAGATACTCTTATTGAAAGTGCAACAATTATCAAGCAGGAATTAAATGAAACTGCAAATATATGTGAAGTTGCAGGAGAAAATAGTATGGAAAATTCTACGGATAATTATTCCAATAATGCAAATGAAGAAAATTTTATAAAACTTGATCTAGAAAGTATATTTCCATCACAAGACAAATCTACGCCAGGGAAAAATACAAAATTAACTAGGACGTGCCACATATGTAACAAAACTTTCCAATCTCGAAAATACCTTAGAAGACATATTAAATTACACAATAATATAAAGCCAATTAAAATTATACCATGCCCAAAATGCAATAAATTATTTAAATATGATCATCATCTAAGATTTCATATGGTTGTACATGATGTTGAGCATAAATGTACCGATTGTGATAAAGTTTTTAAAGACCAGACCGGATTGCAAAGACATGTGGTTTCTCATTTAGGGGAAAAGCCCTTTAAATGTGAACAATGTAATTCAAAATTTTCAATTAATAGAGATTTGCAACGGCATATAAGAAATATTCACGAAAAAAGAATATACGAATGTTGTGAATGTAGGCAAAATTTCATTAATAAGAAGCAACTTCAATCTCATAAACTGGAAGAACATGGAATTTACATGTAAGTTTCTTAAAAAGTTTTTTATCAAATAATATAATAAATAATAAACGCTTTTTAGGACTAATAATTTAAATGAAAATCTTGATTTAGTGAAAGAACCAAAAATTTATAAATGTATTATGTGTAATAAAATATTTAAAACAAATCGATTACTTAAAAGGCACATAGGAACGCATAACAAAAAATCAGAAGAACCAATTCCATGTCCTAGATGCAACAAATCTTTTAAATATGAGCATCACTTAAAAATGCATGTTGTAACTCATGACAAAATACATAAATGTTCGGAATGTGGAAAAATTTATGCTAATAGAAGAGCTTTAGTAAATCATATAGCTTGTCATGGAAGCGAAAAGCATCTTAAATGTGAGCTTTGCGAAACTTGGTGTTTTACGAAAATTCAATTAAAGCGACATATTTCTGATGTTCACTGCGAAAAAAAATATGAATGTGAACATTGTGGGAAAAAATTTAGGAAAAAGCATACTCTTATTGGACATATTAGAACCCATACTAAAGAAAAGTAAGTTTAAATATGGTCAATATGTTGCAAAAAATTGAATTATTATTTTTATTTTAGACCATTTATATGCGAAATTTGTGGAATGGGTTTTTTCACACCATTTTTGCTAAATAATCACATTAAGCGTCATAATAATCAGAGGGATTTCAAATGTACATTTGAAGGTTGTGATAAAACGTTTTTTAACAGAGGCGCTCTAGTTGATCATGAAGTTACTCATACAAAACTTAAACCTTTCTTTTGTACTGTAGAAGGATGCCATTCTAGGTTCACTTTGCGCAGCGGTTTAGTTAAGCATAAAAAATTACACAGTAATATAAAAAACTATATTTGTAAGATATGTGGAAAAGCTTACGCTCAGAGCCCAGGTTTATATGCTCATATGAAGACTCATGGTCAACCGTTACCAACTGCTTAGATTTGTGCTAATATTCTGTCAAAACAAAATAAATACCTACATATGCAATGAAGTTTTAAACAGTTTTAGTTTAAAAAATTTTATTAAAATTACCTTGTTCTATTTAATTTATATAGTTTTATTATAGTCTTTAACTATAAGAAAACGAAATATAACTATAAAATCTCATTTGAATTTTTACTAAACTCAAAAATTTACCAAGACTAAAGCCATATTCCTTAGATATTTTGCAACTTCATTATGTATAAAAATTTATCGGATTTTTCTTTTTGATAGAAAACTAGTTTAATCTTTGTAAATTGCACAATTAATCATATATATTATATGAACATATATTATCAAAAAACAATTATATATTTTCCTGAATTTATTATTACATTTTATGTTTCTCTTGATGCTCTTTCTAACGAATCTTCCCAAAAAAATTTTTTTCTGTAATTCAAATTTAATTTGCTAATATCTCAGGGCAAATGCTTTGTTATCATGAGGCATTTGTAACACAAAATGAACAAGAAAAATGCTTTTTGCATGTATTTTCATATTATTCTTAAGTTTTACTAATACTAAAATTTCTATCAGAGCATAAGATTAACTAGAATTTAATTTGATGCTATTGTTCTACTATAGTTAATTTAATTCTCATCTTAAGAACACTACAAAAATTTCAGTAGAAAATATTTTCAGACAGCATTGTTTGATGAAACAATTTTTACGACTCAACTTTTGAGGTAAAATTTGAAAATTTCTATTTTATACACAAATGAGCTGAGTATCACATTATCTCGAAAATATCAATAATACAACCCGAATAAAGAATATAAAGATCGAGGAATCGAAATATTGGAATAGAAAATAATTAAGATATTGATCATTGTGGTAAATAGGTATACATAAATTACATTCAAAGGCAGGCGGACTTTTTGAAAGATATTTTAATTACGTAATGTAATTAAAAATTACATCATTGTTTTGATAACTCATGTTAATTTTTTAAGAAATCATTTTTATGCTGATTCCTTAAAAATGTATGTGTTACAAATGTAGAAAAGCTTGTTCATATAAAAAAAATTGGGGAAGGATTCAGTAAAATGTAACATATGTACATAATAGATATGTGGCTCATTTCATAAAAAAGTTTTTTCGTAACATTATTTATTATAAATTGAATAATATCTACATTTATATATTTTTTAAGCTAACTTACAATACTGGAATATTTATGTTCTTATCTTCTGCAATATTGTGAGATTTCATATGTGCATATAATCCAGGACTTTGAGCGTAAGATTTTCCACATATCTTACACTGATATTTTTTAATACCAGAATGCAAATTTTTATGTTTTCTTAATGCAGGACCGCTATTAAACCTGGCATTACAAATATCACAACCGTATGGTTTTTCATCTGTGTGAGTTACTTTGTGATCCCTAAGATATGTATGGTTAAAAAACTTTTTGCCGCAAATATCACATTCGAAACGTCTATCGTTATTATGTCTTTTGATGTGATTTTGTAATAAACTATTTGTTTGAAATGCTGTTCCACATTGTTCACAAATAAATGGCTTTTCTCCTGTGTGAATTCTTTCATGAATTTCAAGACAAGATCCTGGCCTAAATAATTTTTTACAATACTTACATGGAACTGTAAGAATTTTTAAAAATCATAGTAAATATTTTCATAAAATAGTTTAACGTTTACCTTTTGGTGTCAAGTGTGTTTTTCTAATGTGACCTGATAAACTTGTTTTTGAATAAAATGCTGCCGAACATCGATTACATTTAAAATCCTTGGTACCAGTATGGGTTTTCATATGAGACTCAAGGTAAAATTTTGAGCCAAAACTTTTATCACATAATAAACAAGGAATTTTCTCTTTATGTGCACGTTCCCTGTGATTTCGATAAAGTCGTTTTTGTTCCTTAGAAAATTTTTCATGACATATTTTGCATTCATATGTTTTATTATCCTTTTTCATATGAACATTTAAATGACGACGCAAAGTTGATGGTTTTTTAAATGTTCTATTACACTTTTCACAATGTCTTGGTAACAATCCTAATAAGAGAGCAAGATTAAACTACATTAATTTAAGAAAAATTGTACGTAAAGTAAAAATAAAATCTGTAAATTTACCCTTTTTTTTAACATTCTCTTCCAATTCGACATCATCAGTCATTTTAATTATATCTTTATTTTCTTCTAAGGTCTCCATAAATGATTCATCGCTATCACTATCTTCAGCATCGCATGGATCAACTTTATATTCTGAATCACTCTCGTCATAAGATTTATTTGATGGCGGATCATCAAAGCATTTGTTTTCAGCATTTATATTATTAGCATTATCGTTATAAAAATGTTCAATTTCTGTTTTAAGGTTTTCATTGGTTTGTTTATTTAAATGCGTATTAGTAACATGATCTAAAAAGGTCTCAAAGTTATTGAACCTATGTGGACATACATTACAGTCAATCCACCACGAAAAAGGGCCACCATCCTGCTTTTCAATAATAAATACTTCTCCATAGCTTAAAGCGAAAGGCGAAGATCCCTCTTCTGCTAATACCTCTAGGTTTTCAGTATCAGGGTCGAAATTTGTTATCTCTTCTTTTATTTTAAAATTACTGCTTCTCAAATTTAAAGGATTGTTTTCCAAAACTTTTTGTTCATCCATTCTAAGCTGTTTATATTTAATTTTATTGTTTTCTCAATTGATATAAAATTGTTGACAACTGACGGCTGCTGATTAGTAACCCCGTGGTCACACAAGATTTTACTTATTTTGTTTTCTTCGTGTCAAAAAGCTCTTGGTTTTTCAACATTTTGTGCAACAAAATAATCAAAGTAACTCTTCAAAAGTCTCTACATCATTTACTTTTTTCATTCATGTTGTGTTGTTGTCTTTTTCTAAATTAGCAGGAACAATTGCCCAGTACTATTATATTATTTGAAAAAATTGCAAATGCTGCATTTGAAAACTATATGATATTATTTGTTAATTATTTTTATAGCAATATATTATTTTATATTCAAACAAAAAATAAATACATATGTATTATATTCGCAAATATTTTTATTGTTATATTAAAACTTCGTACGCATCTCGTAACACGCGCATAAGGTTTATTAAAATTGCTAATTTTTGTGTTCATACCACTATCCATTTTGTCTTTACGTTTAAAATCGGAATTGAGTTTTCTAATAATTGCATCAAACTAATGTTAAGTTTTTGTTAAGACGATGAATTCAATATATCCACATTTGAACTAAAGCATTCGTTTTGCTTTATTTGATCTTTTTGTAAATATTTTTTTCGTGCAAACTCTACATTTTTGGCATTACCTTAATCTGTGGACAGTCCTTTGAAAAATGTTGTTACTGAATTATTATAAAAATTATTCTAAGCTATTCTACAATTTCGTTATGTTGTGAGGAGTTTCTATCGAGTTCGCTTTTCATTTTAGTACTATTTTCCTATAGGTTAGATACCAAATATTGTTCATGACTATTGTTTGATGATAATTGAATGGAATATTAGGTTTGTAAACTTTTTGAACAAAAATGGGAGAAGTGATGAAAATTTAGTGTTTTAAAAAATTTTAAAATCTTACAGGTGTCGAAACATATGTATGTTTTTCTTTGTTATTTCAGAAGTTTTTATTTTTGAAAAAAAAATTTTTCATCAACAATAACTTTTTATTCAAAATTTTTCAATTAAAAATAAAATAACCAAAATAGGCTCACAAATGGTTTTTTTTAAGTTTCACACTTGTATTCCAAAACCAAAATTTTCGGTTTTTGGTGTAACCAAAAAATATTTGCTTTTGTTTGATAAATATTTTGAAATTTGCCGTTGATCATATATTTATAAAGTTTTTAAAAATTTTTCCAAGTTTTCCGTCTGGTTTATTTTTTGTTTTAAATGAGATTTTTTTTTTGAGAAAAAGTTCGTCATTGTTTCTCTTTTTAAAGTTTTTTCAAGTTTTATCCTAGACAGACCTATTATTTTTCCATCAAACAACGAACGTTTACACTTTAATCGAATCAAAAAAAAAATCGTAAACAAACTTTGATAGTGTAAAATTAGATACTGCTGACAATTAAATTGTGTTATATACGATATTCTCTAATAATTTACAAAGTTCGTGTGTGTCTGCTGCCATTATTAAAAATAGGTCATTGGGAAAAAAGGTTTTTATTTGCATTGTTGTGCTTATATTAAGTAGTATAAATCACTTAAATATTTTGTATTTTACATTATAACGAAATGCAAAAAAAAATTTTTTCTGTAATTTGACCACCTCTATATGATGACCAGTTTTATTCCGGCCTTGAGTAGTCAACTTATGGAGGTTCTACTGTATTATGTTTTCTCTTGTGAAAAAACGCAAAAAAAAACAAATTAAAAGTAATCATAAAATTCAAAAACAATAGTGCTAAATTTCAAAAAAACCAAATTTTCTCCCCGATGACCTCATATTTTCAGACGTTAAAACTGTCAAGCAAATCTTGATATTTTGAAGTGTGTATATATACCTCTATACTTCTAATCTTTAAATGCCAAAATTTTTGTTATTGAATCAACATTAAGCATTTTCTAAATGGATGAATCGATGTTTCTCAAAGGCAAGGATTTGTTTTTACAAAAAGATCATATTAAAATAAAGGAAGAATTAGAAAATGATGATAGTCAAAGTGTCAAAATATTAGAAGTTGAAATTTCTCATGATGCCTTTAGTTGTGGTGAAGTGTTCATCGCCGAAAACCAAGAAGAAAATTTTATATGGTGGATCAATTGCAACATTTGCAAAGACAGATTTGATAGTTTCGATTTGTTTTTAAATCATGCAACTAATATGCACTTAAATAAGGAGAAAATAATATATATTAAAACAGAGTCAAAAAGTGATTACACTGACAATGATTTTAGAAATGAATGTCATTCAGAAAAAAATAATGATATAGTAAATAAAAGAGATGAAGTTGAGGAAGAAAGTTACTCAGAAGATATTACTGAAATTGGTGATTTGTCGAAAGAAAGTGAAACTGAAGCAGGAGACGAAAATGTATCTATTCTAGACAATCAAATAAAAGGTTAAATTTTTTTATCAAAATTTAAATTTTATTAATGAATTTGGTACCTACTTTTGTATCGTTAGAACGAAATATGAAATGCAGTAAAACGTTTGAAAAATCCACAACATTTCGAAGACGTTTAAATGAGAACCTAAGAACGGATGGCAAAGTTTACCAATGTAAAGTATGCCATGAAACTTTTGGAAATGATCAGAAAAGGCAATATAGAAATCATAGAGACCGGGCACACAAGGAAAAAATTCCATGCTTATTGTGTGACAAAACTTTTAGATCAAAATATTACCTCGATGCGCATATGAAAACCCATTCTGGTGTAAAAGAATTTTCATGTAGTCAATGTTCAGCAGCTTTTTACTCAAAAACAAGTTTATCAGAACATGTTAGGAAAACTCATTTGACACCAAAAGGTATTAAAATAGTAACTATGTATATTTACAAAATTTTTTATTTTAGTGGCTTGTCGGTTTTGTAATAAGTTATTTCGAGCGCAAGGAATTCAAATTCATGAGCGGATTCATACGGGGGAAAAACCTTTTATATGTGAGCAATGTGGTACAGCATTTCAAAGGAATAGTTTACTACAAAATCATATAAAAAGGCATAATAATGATAGGCGTTATGAATGTGATATTTGTGGCAAAAAGTTTTATAATCATACTTATCTTAGGGATCATAAAATAACACACACAGATGCAAAGCCATATGAATGTTTAACTTGCAATGCCAAATTTAATAGCGGTCCGGCTCTGCGAAAGCACAAAAATCTACATTTAGGTATAAAAAAATATCATTGCAAAATATGTGGCAAAGCTTACGCACAAGGTTCGGGTTTATATGCTCATATGAAATCTCACAATTTAGCAGAAGAAATTCATATGAAGTCTCACAATATAGTGGAAGATGTTCAAATTAAATCTCAAGATCTAAATGTTTAAATAGCTTTAAAAAATGTATTTGATTTTTATTGATTGAAACAAAACTTTTTTTATTAACTTATTAAATTTTTTATTAAACCTTTAAAAATTACTTTCAAATGAGCTGCAGCGTCACTAAATTATAAAGAAAATGTGTAAAATATTAGATTATTTTAATTTTGAGCCCTTGGTCTTGTACTGTTATAACAGGTTTCACTCATCAATACGGTACAATTGGCTCTATCACAAGTATGTTGTGCCAGCTTGTATTCTTTGTGTTTCAGTTGCCGTCTTTTTCATGTATTTGTTTACCTAAATCAGAATAATAAATACTTATTTCTTCATTATTCTGTTAGGAGTTTTTAATGAAATTTTATTGTGTATTCGTCTTATTTGTTTTAATTTTCTCAATCCTGTTTACACAATTAATCGGTTATCAATAATCTTTATATCTCATTTTATATAACCCATGTAATTTATTTTCGTCCTCTGGGACCTTTTGGAGTATAGTTATAACTAAGTGGAGCAAATTCATGTTTTTTTTTAATATGGTAATTAATGGCAGCATACGTTTGAAAACTTTCATCACAAATTTTGCAATTGTAGTCTTTTGATTCAGAGTGAATTCGTTCATGCGTTCTTAAATTCTTTTTTCTACCTAAATTTACAATATATAAATTTATGTAGTTCAAAATGTTTGTATGATTATTTTAAAATTTCAAAACTAACCGAACCTAGCATCACAAATTTTGCATACAAAATTTTTTTCATTTGAGTGAACAACTTTATGTAGCATCAGCTGTTGATTGTTATAGAACGATTTTTCACATATTTCACAGACAAATGGTCTAAAATTTCTATGTCGTTTGTTATGCTCTGCTAAAGTCGAAGAAGTTTGAAATTGATCACCACAGGTTTCACACTGGAAAGGCCTTTCGCCTTGAATAAAAAACATTTCAAAAATGTGCCTTGAATAGCTTTTAGATCTTAGGAAACTAACACAATTAAAGGTACTAACCAGTATGTATTATCTCATGCCTATCTTTATTATCTCGAGTTTGGAAAAGTTTTCCTGTAATAAAAAGAAGAAACACTATTATATAATGATCGGTTAATGACAATATTTTTAATGATTAATACCTACCACAAAATGAACAAGGAAAGTTTTTTTTTCCTGTATGCACGATCATATGACCAATTAAACCTGGCCTAGCTCGAAAAGTTTTTGAGCACAAATTACACTTGAAAGGTCTAAAATATTTAAGGAAAAATAATTATATTATTACGTTTAATCTCTTTTTAAACCTTTCTCCAGTGTGAATTCTCATATGAGACTTTAAAGTTGATTTACTTTTTAAACAAGCACCACACTGTTCACACTTAAAAGACGGATTTAATCCTAAATGAGAAGCTATATGATCTTTCAATATACTTTTTGTTGAATAACTTTTATTACAATGTGGACAGAGATGCTTTTTAACCTTTTTGTCATCATTTCTTTTACTTTTTTGATGTGAAACTTTGACTTTTGTTTTTAGCCTATTGATTGATTGTGTTGGAATATTTTCCACTTCAATTTGTAATGGCATGCCTATCTTATTTTTTGCTTCTGAGTCTGTTAGTCCATTATTACTGTTTTCATCATCCAATATTTCAACTTTGTAACTTTTTTCGCTATCTATTATTGTCTCTTCGATATTGATATTTTTGCTTTCAGCACTAATATTTTGTGGATCTTCATCACATACATTTTCATTTTCAGTTTTTAAATATTCCTTTGTTTTTTTGTTCAAATGCATATTGATAGCGTGATCTAAAAAATTTTCACAGCTATTAAACCTAACTTGGCAAGCATTGCAGCTGATCCACCATATTAAAGAACCTCCTTGGTTATTTTCAACAATAAACACTTCACCATAACTTAAAGCAAGAATAGACACTTCATCCGTTTCAGATATTTTGCCATCTTCGGTAACATTATCTGTTTTCTCCTCTTTGATTTCAATAATATTTTTGATATTCAAAGGATTGTTTTCCATTCTTACAGCTTTTAATCATTAGTCTACAATAGTGAAATTATTATACTATACCCGACATTGTATTCAATTGTAAGCATCTAACCGCCTTGCATATGTAAAAACAAAACAAAAAAATTATTGACATTTGTAACTACATAGAACGAATTAGAAATATTAAAGGAAGGAACATCTTAAAAAAGAAATGAATGAATGAAGCTGAATTCTTTCTAGTTGTCTTTTTCTTTGTTACAAGGATTGTCAAAGCCGTAACCGGAGCGAATTTTTCTTTTATCTCGCCCTAAAAAATTTATTAATTTGAAATATATGTAAAAAAATCAAATTTTAACAAAACTCTTTATTTTTTTTTGTAAATTTATTTTATAAATTGAAATTAAATATACATATGTACGTATTTTAATATCACAATATTTTCTACCTTATTACCCTTAAAAATAAACATAATGTTTTTGTTTAATATTTTGTACAGACTTATAATGGCTGTTACCAATCGCGGTACACTTTTCTGCAGTGGCCTTTTATTAAATTTTTGAATTTCTGACATAAAATTGTTCTAAAACTATTATAATTCTTACCAAATTTTAATTAATATTTTGGTTATTACTCACTGAAATAGGTGGTTTATTGTCGTATACTTCCGCACGATTAATTGAGTTTCACATAATTGTTCATTCTAAAACAAAATATTTCATTAATATATCACGCTAATATTTTGTAATGCTTACTGCATCCAATGGCCACGATGTGTTTTCATATATTTCTTTGATGACCAAAATCATCACTTTATAGAAAATGTTCTAAAACAACATGTTTACGAAATAATTCACATATAAAAAAAAATATTATTACTATTAAAATTAATTTCTTTTTATTTAACACATACATATAATTCATTTTCGTCCTCTGGGTCCTATTGGAGTATAGTTATAACTAAGTGGAGCAAATTCGTGTTTTTTTTTAATATGGTAATTAATGGCAGCATACGTTTGAAAACTTTCATCACAAATTTTGCATTTATAGTCTTTTGATTCAGAGTGAATTCGTTCATGTGTTCTTAAATTCTTTTTTCTACCTAAATTTAAAATATATATGTATGTAAATGTATGAAGGTCACAAAATGTCTGTATGAGTATTTTGAAATTTCAAAACTAACCGAAACTAGTTCCACAAATTTTGCATACAAAATTTTTTTCGTTTGAGTGAACAACTTTATGAAGCATCAGCTGTTGATTATTAAAGAATGATTTTTCACATATTTCGCAGACAAACGGCCTAAAATTTCTGTGTCTTTTGTTATGCTCTGTTAAAGAAGAAGAAGTTTGAAATCGATCGCCACACTCTTCACACTGGAAAGGCCTTTCACCTTGAATAAAAAACATTTTGAAAAGGTGCCTTGACATACTCTCAGATTCTAAGTAACTAATATAATTATAGGTACTAACCAGTGTGTATTATCTCATGCCTCTCTTTATGATCTCGTGTTTGGAAAAGCTTCCCTGTATCAAAAAAAAAATTCTATTATTCAATGGTTAATTAATAACAATATTTTTCATGATTATCACTTACCACAAAATGAACAAGGAAAATTTTTCTTTCCTGTATGTACGATCATATGATTTATTAGACCTGGCCTAGCTCGAAAAGTTTTTGAGCACAAATTACACTTGAAAGGTCTAAAATATTTAAGTAAAAATAATTATATTATTACGTTCTTAATCTCTTTTTAAACCTTTCTCCAGTGTGAATTCTCATATGAGATTTTAATGTTGATTTACTTTTCAAACAAGCACCACACTGTTCACACTTAAAACACGGATTTAATCCTAAATGAGAAGCTATGTGATCTTTCAGTCTACTTTTTGTTGAATAACTTTTATCACAATGTGGACAAATATGCTTTTCAACTTTTTCGTCATCATTTTTTTTACTGCTTTGATGTGAAACTTTTACGTTTGTTTTTAGCCTATTGATTGATTGTGTTGGAATATTTTCCAATTCAATTTCTATGCCGATTTTTTTTTTTGCTTCTGAGTCTGTTTGTTCATTATTACTGTTTTCACCATCTAATACTTCCACTTTGTAACTTTTTTCGTTATCTATTATTGTCTCTATGATATTTTTGCTTTCAACACAAATATTTTGCGGATCTTCATCACATACATTTTCATTTTCAGTTTTTAAATATTCCTTTGTTTTTTTGTTCAAATGCATATTAATAGCATGTTCTAAAAAATTTTCACAGCTATTAAACCTGACTTGGCAAACATTGCAACTGATCCACCACATTAGAGAACCTCCTTGATTATTTTCAACAATAAACACTTCACCATAGCTTAAAGCGAGAATAGACACTTCATCCGTTTCAGATATTTTGCCATCTTCGGTAACAGTATCTGTTTTCTCCTCTTTGATTTCAATAATATTTTTTAGATTCAAAGGATTGTTTTCCATCATACTTCCGCTTTTTAATCATTAGGATACATGGATGGATTCAATACTCATCAGTAGATTTATTATAGCTATACTTTATACAGGCAATATCTATAATTATATTCAATTGGAAATATCAAGTACCTACATCAAAACAAAAAAGATTAATTGACGTAATACACATACAAAAAGCATAACAAGGCTACATAGGTATTACCAGTTGTAAAAATATTGCGTAAAATAATTCGATTTAAAAAAAAAACAAAGCTGAATTTTAATTTTAAAAATGAAGTTTAAGCTAAAATTTACTAACTAGAAGATAATTTTTTTTAATATAGCGGAATATTTATGTGGACTGTTTATATTAAATCATTTTGGAATACGAAATAAGCCAATTTAATAAGCAATAATAAACAAAAAAGAAACATATATTAATTTATGAGTTGAGAAATAATGCCAACTTTTTAATTAGTACACTGCCGCGTGGACTGGTATAATTTATACGTGGTACTATTTGGTAATACTGTTCTTATATGATTCTTATTAATTAATTTTAAATTACGTGAAGTGTCGATTTGTCGAAGTATAAAATGTTCATATTGAAAGAGTGTCCAAAAATAGGTTTAATATTATCAAGATCATGTAGAACCTTGAGTAAAAGAACTTTTTTCGTTTCTCAAATGATTCAACAACAAAAATCTACTGATTTGGCATCATTTCCTGGAGCAAAAGCACCGTTTGTTATTAACTCGAGTATAACACTTCCAGAAAGTATACCACCTGTTCCTATATTTAGAATAATAAATTCAAAAGGAGAGGTAGAAGATGGAGCTGTTGCACCAAATCTTGATAAAGACTTTGTAGTTAAAATGTTTGAAAGTATGGTTTTGTTAAACACATTAGATAAAATTTTATACGAATCGCAACGACAAGGCAGAATTTCTTTTTATATGACAAATTTTGGAGAAGAAGCTTCTCATGTTGGAAGTGCAGCTGCTCTAGAATCAGATGACTTGATATACGGTCAATATCGTGAAGCTGGTATTTTAGTATGGCGAGGCTTTACTTTGTCGCAATTTATAGATCAATGTTATGGAAATGTAGATGATGATGGACGCGGTAAACAAATGCCGGTTCATTATGGAAGTAAAGCATTAAATTTTGTGACAATTTCTAGTCCTTTAGCTACACAAATTCCACAAGCCGTTGGTGCAGCTTATGCTTTTAAAAGAAATAAAAATAATAAAAATATTGTAGTGTGTTATTTTGGAGAAGGTGCAGCTTCTGAGGGTGATACTCATGCTGCCTTTAACTTTGCTAGTACCTTAGAGTGTCCCATAATCTTGTTTTGCAGGAATAATGGTTTCGCTATTTCAACCCCATCGTTCGAACAATATAAGGGTGACGGTATAGCGGGTAGAGCATCTGGCTATGGAATGGCGACAATTAGAGTTGATGGTACTGATATTTTAGCAGTGTATAGTGCTATGAAAGAAGCTCGAGAATATGTCCTCAAAAATAATAAACCAATAATTTTTGAAGCACTCGCTTATAGAGTAGGACATCATTCTACTTCAGATGATAGTTCTTCTTATCGTTCCCTTGAAGAAGTTGAAATATGGAACACTATAGAACATCCAATCAATAAACTGAAAAACTATATGGCTAAAAAGAATTGGTTTGATGAAGAAATGGAAGTAAATTTTGTAAAAAACGCCAAAAAACAAATTATGGCACAAATTGCACTTTCAGAAAAAAAATTAAAACCAAATTGGAAAGAATTGTTTGAAGATGTATATTACAAAAAACCAAATATACTAAATGAACAGAGTAAACAATTGGAAGAACATCTTAGAAGACATAAAGAACATTATCCTTTAAAAAATTTTAAATGATGCATTTACATATTATGTATATATGTATATAGGTTTCAGAAATTTTTTATAGTAAAATATAAAAATTTTAATGCATTTATTAGGTTTTAAATTTTTTAATAGAAAATAAATTTTTTTCTTTGTTAAAAAAAATATCAAACATGAATTTTATTTATTACACATAGCTACATATGCATACATACATAGGTATTATCTATCTTGTTATTCTTATTATATAAATGTAAATAACTTATACTAACTTTTAAGTTTATAACATTTACTGCAGATTACATTATATTGGATTTATTATTGTAGGTACCTAATTATTTATTTGGATTGTATTTCAATTGACTTAATCTTAATATAAAATCTAAGAGATGCATCTGAATTTTTATGTCTTTTGCATTTTCAGTCACAAAAAAACCTGGAACTCCTATAATTTTGTTTTTGTTTTAAAATTTAATAAGATTATCAGAATAAATTTTTATATGTAAACATACAAAAATATATACATATATATTAAATATATGTATATATATTAAATATAAACATATATATTTAATATATATATTATATTTTTTGAAGTGTATATTTAAATTTATAAATTTTAGCAAATTTACCGGCTTTTTCCAATGTTGATTGTTGATCTCGAACTTTCTGATCAAGATGTTGAATCAATTTTATATCAGTTTCTTTTAATTTTTTTTCATGTTTTATTTTAAGTAAAGTAATTATATGTTCTAGCTCTTCTGTATCTGAAATTTTTTCTTTCCATTGTTCAATTTCCAACTGATTTTCGTTTTCAACCTAAAAAAACTTTCGGTTTAAATTTATACGTGCGAATTTAATTTTATAAGCTTATAATAATTTTATACATACACATGCTTTATATAATTTAGAAATCTTAAAGAATTTTATACGCTTTTACAGAAATCAATATTTTTGTTTCTTACTTGTTCACGCAGTTGTTTCAAATGTTTTTCTGTTACATGTTGTATTTCCATTAAACTTTTAACAATTTTAAATAATGTATCATTCATTAAAGAATTCGCAAGTACAGTAAGAAGCTCATAAGATCTGTGAATTAAATATACTATTTATAAATAAAATAAAGCTATATAATTTATTTTAGCTAACATTCTCATCTGATATATTTCTGGTAAAGCTGAATGCATTGATTTAAGATGGTCCAAAAAAAAATACAACTTCTTTTGAAGAAATTCTGGTGATAAATCTTCATCTTCCTCCATTGTAAAATTTGTATTAGTGAAGTGATTATATTTATTATTTTCTTTTGCAACAAGAATTTAAGAATTAAGAAAAATATAAATATTACATGCTAAATGCAAAAATTAATTGTTATTTATTTGTAAACTTCAGAGATTGTCAAAATTTTAATAGATGAAGAATGACAAAATAGCTCTCATTCTTCAACTTTCATTTTGACTTTGAAGTTTGTGGTGAAAAAAAATTATGGTTATGTATAGGTATGGTACATTTGTGCATATTATTTCATGAAAACATAAGTTCAGCATCTTAAATGTAAACTCAAAAATATTAAATTAGTATATTCCTCATATTTAATAAAAAATTAATATAAACTCTCATATGTAAAAATTTATATATTTTTAAAAATATTAAAAATACACGCAAAACATTTGTGGAAAAAGATATTTAATATTTTTGAAATTTTGTTTATTTATTTACAATAAACTTACATACCTATGTGAAAGTATATAAACAAAAAAGTAAAATAAGTAAACACGTACATACATCCACATATATATATATATACAGTAAGTGCTTTATTACCATTATCTTAACTTAAAAAAATATTGGGTAAATTAAACTTAAGGAAATTTCTTTTTATAGGGAAATGGTAACGGAGTGTGTGGATATTCCCGGGTATATAGGAGAAAAATGCGGACAAATATATAGGAAAGATTCTAATTTTTTTTATAAATGTTTAAATTGTTCACTTGTATTTGAAAATTTCGATTTCTTTCGTAATCATGTTTTCGACTACGACAGTACAATAAAATCATGTAAAGTTGAAAAAGAAATACTATATAATCCAGTAAGTATACTCTTATTAAAATAAATTTAAACTGTGTATGGCTTAAGAAAAGCTTCTTATTTTTAGAGTGAGTCAGATTGCATTAATAAAAAAATTGAATCAAAAAACCCAGAGAATCAATTGCTTGATGAAATTTCCCGTGTTGCCAATATTACTTTTACTAAGTTAAACGAAACTGAAAGAAACCTAAGAAAAAGAAAATGTTTAAAAATAAACTCCGAAATACCGGAAAAAAAAAGGTCGCTAAAAGTAAAAATTACAACAAAACGACGTAATGCAGATAAGATTCAGTGGCAATTAGACAAAATTTTTTCAAATGAAATTGATGCTCAAAATTACATATTATCCCAAAAAATATGGAGTTTTTTACACAAAAATTTCACCAAAAAAGGCATAAAAAAGTATTATCGATGTAATCGTGTTAAATTTCGTGGCCAGCAATGTGCATCATCTATGTTATATTTTTTAAATGAAAAAATTGGAAAATGTGAAGTTTATAAATCCAAATCTGATCATACTTGTGATAGAATAAGTTCTTTACAATCCAATTCTCGAATAACCACCGAAACTAAATTGAAAATTGAAAATCTGTATGAAAAGGGAATGAAACTAAAAGATGTAATACATACAGCAGAAAATGAATATAAGGTAAAATCCGGGCAGGTTAAACACTTTTTAAAACTTTTAAAAATTAAGAAAGAAAAATCTTTGAAAACAGAAATTGAAGAATGGATTAGAAATAATGCAAGTTTTCCAGAGTTACATCATCAGGCATTTGTTGTGAACTGTGAAAGCGATGAAAACTCTTTAAGAATTTTTATATCTTCGCGACACTTGTTGTCTAATGCAATTAATACTGAAGTAATTAATATTAATGGTGGAAAAAAGTTGAATTGGCATACATATTCAATATTCTTCCCAGGTACTATTGACTCTAATAATCAATTTAAGTGTTTTGGGATTGCAATATGTCAAAAGGATGAAGTTGTTGATTTTAATTTTGTATTTAATTCTTTAAAAGATGCATGTCAAAATTATTTTAAGGAAAACCTTTCTCCATCGGTGCTTATTAGAGATTCGAATTTAAATGTTGAAAAAGCATTTAAAAATGTGTTTGATGGCACAAACTCGAAAGTAAAAATTTGTTGGAATCACGTAAGAAATAAGCTAAAAATTAAATTAGAGTATTTGCTTCCAGAACACCACAATAAAAAAGATGAAATTTTGAGCGAACTGGATCTTATCCAAAAGTCAAATACGTTTGAAGAATTTAAGGAAGCAATTGATGATTTTGAAAATAAATGGGCTTTATATGTTGAATTTATAACTTATTTTCATCAAGAATGGATTGATAAAAATTTTAATTGGTATGAAGGAATAGATAGAGATATTATAAGAAGTAACAGAACTATTGATCAATTTATTAAAAAAATTCAAAATGATGAACAATTCAGAGAAAGACTTCCTTTTCAGCTATTTAAGTGCAAATTTTTAGAATGGATTGCTGTGTTGTCAGGTTTTCTTACTAATGTAGGAAGTGTTAATTCCTCAATCCAATTAAATATTGTAAACTCTGAATTTTTTCCTGAAGAACATTCGATAAATAATTTAGAATATAATGTAAATCAAACTAACCAAGACAATAATTCGAAGCTAATTGAAATGAAACAGAAAGGACCTAAGACAAGTTATAAGACAACAATTAATACTAAAACTGCAGCCGTAAAGAGTTCCCAGAGAGAAAGAAAAAAAAGGTCTGAAAAATTATGGAGAGAAGAAATGACCTTTAATAGCTTGGCTGATGCAGAAAAAGTAGTTGAATCAGAAAAAATTTGGAGTCTTTCAACAAAAAATCGAACAAAAGCTGGAACAAAAATATATTTTCGTTGCAATAAAGTGCCTTTTCGTGGAATACAATGTAATGCTTGCATATATTTATTTTTGAAATCAGATTGCACTGAAGTAATTTTGATGCGATCTGGTTTATCACATAATTGTCATGAAATAGCATTTAAAAGCCGTGGAATAGAAAAAGAAATACGCGCTGAAATAGAAAGACTAAATGATTTAAGTTGGAAACCATCACAAATATTAGATTATATTCAAGAACAAAATTATAAATCACCACCTACAAAAACACAAATTAGTAATTATTTAGCTGTATTGAGAGAACGAAAATATGGTGCATCAAATTTGGATCAAGAACAATTGAAAAACTGGTTAAGTAATTGTACAGAAGTTCCTGATAATGATAATAAAATGTTTATCGTAGCATATGAGTGTATAAATGGACAATATCAATTTTTATTTTCATCGAAAAAGTTACTTAAAAATGGGCTTAACATTAAAAGTATCCATATTGATGATATACATAAATTAGAGTGGATACAATTTTCAGTATATTTTCTTGGGGCAAGTGATGATCAGTTTAATTTTTATTCTTTAGGTATAGCAGTTTGCTATAATAATAAAGAGAGTAATTTTAATTTCATATTCAGATCATTAAAAGAGGGAGTTTTGAAAAACTTTGAATACCTAATAAATCCAAGGATTTTAGTTACTGACACAAATTACAATTTACAATTAGCATTTAAAAATACGTTTAAAGAAGGAGAGGTTAAAATATGCTGGGATATATTTCGAAAGAAAATAAGAAAAAAATTGGATGAATTTTTAGTTTCAAAGGAAAATAGTGGCAAAATCCAAAAAGATTTAGAAAATTTCCATCAATGTGTATCCAAATTAGAGTTTGATAAAGCACTAATGAATTTTAAGAGCAAGTGGTCAGAATATAAGGAATTCATTTATTATTTTAATGAAGAATGGATTATAGCAAATACAAATTGGTTTCAAGGATATAATATTTCGTCCCCTATGACAAATACAAAATTAGGAGGATTTGTAAAATCATTCAAAAATGATCAATTATATCGTAAAAAAATATCAATAGAAAGCTTCAATAAAATAGTAGCTAAGTACATTAGGGTTTGGTCTTTAGACTGCAATGAATATTAAAATTAAGAAATTTTAAATATGTAAATAAACAGTATTTAATTGAAATGATAAAAGTATTAATTTAACTTCCCGAATTCTTTTTTCGTTTAACAATTTTTTTCCTTTTTACAATTCCGACTTTATGACAACAAAAAGTTTTAATTGTCTAGGGCTCTAGGCAGTTTGTCCACCAAATGAAAAAAAATTGTAGTTATAAAGATTATTAAAATTTATTGAATTTAAATAATTAAAAATTTAGATTATAAAATTTGAAAATATTTTTGGCAGGCACTTTTTTAATATAGTATTTTTTCCATTTTCCGAATTAATAATATAATTGATGTTCTCAATTTTTTTTTTATTATGCTTATTACTAAGTGTAAAAAATTTTATATTATTTGTAAAAAATTTTTTGGATTCACATTAAGTATTGATTTCCAAATTGATTGTCAATATGTAATCAATTTTAAAAGTAATTTAATCGTTTTCCTTCATCAAGCAGTGCTATTAATGAATCTATAATTTCCTGACCTGTTGGTGTAAATATTTATAATTATCAAAATAATAATTAATATTAACACAAAAATTAATTTTAAATTTACCAGTAGGTATGATCTGGTTTGGTGGCAAAATAAATCCGTTCCAGCCAAAAGAACTTGATTTTGGTCGTAGTTCATAACAGTAGGATAATTTGATATTTTCAATATCATAAGCCCATTCGATACTTGATCCAGACGCAGGATAAATTGTTTCATAAATATTTCCAACTTTATACTGTGTTCCATATCTTTTTGATAACGCACTGGCTGCAATATCACCAATTTTTTGTAAATCATCATGATTTGGTGCCCTTTTATCTGTATAACCGTATGGAAATAGTAATAATTGAGAATATGAATGAAATGAAATATATATATTAATTTTTCCACGTAGACTACTTATAAAATTAGAAAATGTTCTAGTTTCAATTTCTGAAAATGGTTCCTTTCCAGCATAAGCATCTGAACAAGGATTCGAAGAAGTTCCTTGTTCATTCCAATGATAATCAAAATTGCGATTAGGATCTACTCCTAAACATCGATAATTTCCATTATATGAACGTGTTTTTCTCCATAAACGATCTTTCGTATGCGTATAAACGTATCCATCAGGATTTGTATGTGGAAAGATATACCAATTAAAATTTTCGGCAATATAACGAATTCTAGAATCAGTACTGTGAAGTAATTCATTTAAAATGTAAGTAGTTGTTGCTGGACTTATCCATTCTCTACAAATTATTTAAAAATTTTTACTTTAAATATTGAAATAGACTTTTATGTAAATCAACCTTGCATGTATTCCACCTTCAATTAAAACACCCTTATTATTTTCGCTTTTATATGATATTTTTACTCCTAAAATTTCTCGACCTTCATATGTAGAACCTGCTGATAAAAGTTCAATATATTCTGGATATGTATTACTCAAATTTTTCATCCAGTCATATGTTTCTTCTAGAGTATGATAGGTTGTCCAATCGTATTGTTTTTTTGAATTTGATCTCCCTAATATTTTCTCTTCTTGATCTAAAGTTTCTTGAACATTTTCATCATACAATCGAAATGTAATATTATGTTTTGTTAATAAAGATTGAAAATTATCTTCTTCTTGCGGTGATACAATAATATTATTGCTTCTTTTAGAAGTGAGGGTTGAATCTATAAATATTAAATTTCGGTCTTGAATTTCATTTTCTAATTTTTTTAAAACAAGAATGTGCTCTTCAGTAGTAGGTTGAACATTGTAAGCTTTAAAGTTTCTGTAAGAATGTTTTTCGCCATAAGACGATATTATATTTGCAAAAATTAAAATTAAAACAAAATAGTTTTGCAAATTCATTTCGTATTTAAATAAATAAGACAATTAATAATTAACTGTTAAGAAGTTTACTTGGAAATAAACTAAAACTGTCTGTGTAAGCTATGCTTATTTAAATAGTAATGCATGAAAATTTTGTTTTATCTAAAAAAAGGGTATTCGGATAATAGATAGGTACAAACGTAATCATGCCTTTCTATATCCAGCCGAGTTAGTATTTTTTTTTTTAATTATAATCCAATTGTATTTGGAAAATTTTGATAAAAAAAAAACAATAAATTACGGTGTACTTTATAATGGTACATACTTCTAAAACAATAATAGTTATTGACCTAATTAAGTTAAATGAAATAAAATGTTGTAGTTACTAAGATAAAATCCAATGTTTTTATTTTTGCATAATGTTATATAATAGGTGTAATAAGAGTTATAATATATATATACATATAAAAAAAGTATGTTAAAATTTTATATAATATTACAATAACGTTATTAACTCTTAGTTTTGCATTCATCTTTGCTACAAAAGAAAATCTAAGAGTTAATGCATAAATATTGATGCATTTTTACGATATAGATATACCGTAAAAAAATAAAATAAAGGTAATTATTACATACACAAACCAATTTAAATGATTCGTGTCTATAAATTCTTTAACAATACATATTTTCTACAGCATTTCATCAAGGCAATAAACCAGTGTTTACAATTGTATAATATTAAATTATTATTGAATACAAAAAATCTACAAATAAGTTGTAGTATAATAATTTTTTGATATACTTGTGACAATAGTAAGACATTTGACGTAAATTTCGTTTTCGTATGAAATTTTTCTATTTTTTTGTATTACTCTAAATCTGTCTGTTTATGACAATCAAAAACAAAAAAAAAATTGTTCTTTTAATTAATTTGATTATTAAAATATAAAGTTTTTCGTTGGATATTGCATAAGAATATTTATAATATCTTTTATCTCGAAATATTTTCAAAAATTAAATTCATAATATGCAAATTATACTAAAAAAAATATGCGCCAAATTAAAAATTGTCCCGTAATTTAGGGGGCCATCATTACATGTGCCATACATCACATTTTTTGCGTATTTAAATATTTTATTACATATTAAATCTTTTAAAACCGATATAAAAAAGCTTAATATTTTTTATAGTGCATTCACTAAAAAAAAGCTTTATTTGAATTATTCTTTAAATTTTTCGATTCAATTGAATTCAATTTTATTTAATCGAAATCGCTTTATTTATTGTAAATAACTTTTAATTGAAGAACTTCACTGTTTTCTATATTTAATAGTTTACATAAATATTTGAATTCCAAAGAAGATATTTTGGCATTTATGTCAGAAAACTTCTTAAATATATTATTAACAATTTTATATATGTATGTAATTTTACAATATTATTTCTTGGCCTTGTTTCTGGCTGTTATTGCTCCGTAGTTCGTTGACTCAGATATGTATACTAAAGCTCAATTATTCTTATGTTAAGTGCACGGTAATTTCAGTTACGGCCTTACATTTGCTTTGTACAGGCAGAAAATTATGTTTAGAAAGTTGACAGTATGGTGACGTTTAAAATAGTTTTCAAATTATTATTTTATTTATAAATGGTATCATTAATTATTTAGATTATCTTTAATTCATCTCATAATTAAGTAATGATTAAAAGTTCGGAGTCTAAAACATGTAATAGTTCTGTTACTTCTGTTGAGGTGGAAAATACTTACTTGGGTCAAAAATGCGGTGAAATTTATAAAGATGGCTTATCAGTTATGTTTCGGTGTGAATTTTGTTTACAAATATTCAAACAATTGGCTAATTTTACAGCTCATATTGAGGAACACATTGAAGCTAGCTGTTATGCGGTAATTTTACTTTTATCTGAATTTGAAAAAAATTCATTTCAAGAAATTTAAGGATACTAGTGGTACAAACTTAAATCAATGTGATGTTTCTTCAAGTCAGTGCGATGGTATTTCCAAAAATTTGAAAGACGAATGTACATCAAAAGTTAAATTTTCAGTTTCATCCAAAATTAAATTTTCAGATTCTGAGAAATATCTTCACCAAAAAGGTTGGAGAATTGAAAAGATATTTCTAACTGAAAGAGAAATGGAAAATTACATCAAAAAAGAAAATACGTGGAGTTTAAAAAAGAAATTTTACACAAAAAAAGGTTGCAAAAAATATTTTCGATGTAATAAAGTAAGATCAAGAGGAGAAGCCTGTGCAATGAAACTTATGACATTCAAAAATAATTACATAAATGAATATATATTGTATAGATCGAGATCGAATCATTCTTGTGAAAAAATACTTAAAAAAAATTTGCAAGCAATTGATAGAAAAATAATGTCGTCACTTCCTAATGAAATCAAAAATGAAATAAAAAATCAGTTTGCAAGAGGCCTTAAAATAAAAGAAATTATTGAAAATGTGGAAATGGGTTTTGGACAAAACAAGTCACACCAAATAAGAAAATATATAAAAATATTGCAACTTGAACAAGAAGCGTTGTTACGAGAAGATATTCTTGCAAATTGGCTTAAATTACCAGTAAGGGAGCAAAAAAATGAAGAAGAACCATTTATTGTTAATTATGAAGTTAATAATAATATTTTGAGATTTTTTTTGTCCTCTCAACGTCTTTTAAAAAACATTTTAATGGTAAATCATATAAATCTAGTTGGAACAAAGAAAATTACATGGCATCACTATTTAGTATATATAGTTGGAGCCACAATCACAGAGAAAGAAGAGTTCTTATGCTTTGGTATCGCAGTCTGCAAAAGTGATTTAGTTGAAGATTTTGAATTTATATTCCGTTCTCTTATAAAGGCATCGAAAACGTATTTTCAGATTGATTACTCGCCGACTTATCTTTGTAGAGATTGCAACGAAAGTTTGGAAACTGCATTTAAAAATATATTTCCAACAAGCAAGGTAAAATAGCCTACTTTCATAGAAAATATTTAAGTTTAATATATTTATCATATGAAAATAAAAACAGAACTTCAAAATTTTTTAGGTAAAAATATGTTGGGACCATGTAAATAAATCAATCAAAAGAAAAATGGAAGATTTATTACCTAATCAAAACAAAAAGGAAAACATATTGTCCGGAATTTCGTTTATACGGAAATCTAAATCTGAACATGATTTTGAAACAAGAGCAAACATGTTTTTGGATGAGTGGGCAATTTTCGTAGAATTTACGACTTATTTTCATAATAATTGGGTTACCAAAAATAAAAACTGGTATGATGGTGTAGACTTTAACTTTATCAGTACGAACAAACCAATTGACTTAATTTTAAAAGAAATAGAAGATGATCATTCATTTCGATCGAAAATTCCTCTTGAAAATTTTAAGCAAAAAATGTTTGGGTTAATTATAAGGTTTTCTAATTCAATTCCAGAAAATATTTTGGAGAATTCTGGTTCAATCAAGTTAGAATCAGCTGATTATACTGTATCTGATGTTCAAAATGAAATTACTTCTATTTTTGCCTCTGATACTAAAAATATTTTACATAAAACTCCTGAATTAAAAAAACATAAAAATACATACAAATCACATATACTGCCACTTAAAAAATTTAGTTCGAAATCACAAAATGAATTGAAGCGAAAAAGTTCAGACAGAATGTGGAAAGAGGAAACCACTTTCAGAAGTTTGGCGGAAGCTGAGAAGGCAGTAGAAATGGAACAAACATGGGGTTTTACCACAAAATCAAAATCGAAATCTGGTATTAAAAGGTATTATAGATGTAACAGAGTTCCCTCTCGAGGCAAAAATTGTGAGAGCGGATTATATCTCTTTCTTAAAGCAGATTCAGAGGATGTTATTTTGGTGCGATCTGGACTACCGCACACGTGTCATGAAATTCCATGTAGAAATCGTGGTTTAACAGTAGAGATAAGAGAAGAAATCAATCGTTTAATTGAGTTTAACTGGAAAACGAAACAAATATATGATTACTTAAACGAAAATAATTTTTCCCCCATGCCAAGTAAAGTACAGGTCAATAACTACATTGGAGTTTTGAGAGAACGTAAGTTTAATGCATCATCTTTAAATTTGTGTGAAATCGAAAACTGGCTGAAAAATAATTCTAAAGTTCCTGATTGCGAAAGTAAAATGTTTGTTGTGTCGTATGAAACTAATATTGAAAAATTTAATTTTTTTATTTCATCTAAAAAACTTTTACAAAATGCTATTGAAATAGAAACTTTGAATATAGATAGTACAAGAAAAATTGAATGGCTAAAATTTCCAGTTTATATTTTAGCTACAACTAACAATCAAAACAAATGCAAATGCTTAGGTATATCTGTTCTGTCTAAAGATAGTTTAGAAAATTTTGAATATATATTTAAAGCAATCAAAGATTCTTGTTATAAATTTTTGAATCAGCATATTAATCCTACTATTTTAGTGACTGATTCTAATGCTAACATACAATCAGCTTTTCGGAATGTTTTTGGTCAATTTGTTAAAATAAAAATATGTTGGGACACTGTCAAAAAATCGGTTAAAAAATCACTGGAAGAATTAAATGTTGAAAAAGAGACTATATTTAATATAATACGAGATTTAGATTTGTTGCATCGAAGTAACACTTTTGAAGAATTTGGTGAAAATGTTAAAAATTTTCAAGAAAAATGGAAATCGCATGTGGATTTTTTTATCAAGTTTTATAATACTTGGATAAAGAATAATAATAGTTGGTATCAAGGATTTATTAAATCATCTTGCACCTCAAATACAAGATTAGATAGTTTTGTAAAGTCTATCAGAAATGATCAAATGTATAGGAAAAAAATTTCTCTATGCGATTTTGGTAACATTTTAGCCAAAAGCATTGAATGTTGGTCATTTGAAAGCGAAAGTCGTTATGTTTGCTGAATAAATATTTATGGTATTCGCGTTGAACATCTATATGCATATATGCATACCCCAAATTATTATATACATATACCATAATACCAACTGAAAGGTTATCGTACTGAAAATTTGAATCGTGTACAATATGAAATGATTCAAATATAATTTAAGGTTTTTAAATTTTTAAGCATATTATTCAGTTTAAGGTTTTTATAAGAAATTGTGATATAGGTTTTCTTAAGTTTAAACTTCCCTTTAGTTCTCTTTTCATGAAATTTCTACGCTGTATTTAATTGCTTTACAATAAACATTTTTTGCTGTATTTAATTGCTGTATGTAATTGTATATTGCTTATAACAAATAAAGATCCAAATTTTAAAAAAATAAATTTATTTTGTTATGTACAATTAAAACTGAAGCGTGCAAAAGTATGAATGTAGATATGCATGCACTACATAATTTAACTAATATACATACATGTATGCACTTACAAAAACCCTTTTATACATACTTACATATATACAAACTTGTTTATTTACAATGTGCCTAATTTTTAAATTACATATTAAATATTTTATAAATTAAAAGAGTGACAACCTTATATCCCCTTTAATCTCAAATATTCTAAACCTTATATCTTCAGTAAAAGCTAATTGTTTCATTTAGTTGAGATAAAAACGTCTTTTAGTAGTCTGATTTATGCACTATGTGTGCGTAAGTATTTCGAAATTAGAATTTCAACAAACGAGAAAAACTTGCAGCCCAAATTTAGGTCTAGGTGGCAATACTGTGCATGTCATAGTATTCAGCTCATGTAACCATAAATTTATTTTATTATACTTCAAACATTTTTCCAATCAGAATTGTCAGAATTTACATTTGAATGTCCAGATGTTTAAGTAAACAAAAACATTATTTTCTTCTTCAAAACAAAATAGAGAAGAAACTACATTACATATATACCTACATATTACAGAATAAAAATAACTAAATACGAAAATAAATAAAATTGCAATACAAAATAAGAAAAGGCTGTAAAAATTATTAATGGTTTAAAACATGGAATTCGATTTAATTAAAACAAAATTGGATACCCAAAACAATCAAATGTATAGAGAAAAATGTGGTGAAATTTACAGAATTAAGTCTGAGTTTATCTATTATTGTTGTTTTTGTTTTGAAAACTACTATGATATAATAAAGTTTCATATCCATATTCATCAAAATCATCACGAATGTATGGATGCTTCTAAAGAAATTCCCAACTTTCATCCAGAAGCAAGTGAAAATGATTTCGATGCGGTAAGTAATTCAAACAAAATAAACAAATTAAAAATAAGTACGTATTTAAAAATTTTAGACTGATTCAATAAAGTTTAACTTTGTATCAACCAACCAATATTTAGATACGAAGATTGAGGAGAGCACGAAAACTGTAATAGAAAATTCATTTTGTAATGAACAGGTGAATAGGTATCTAGGATTTCTCTGATATATCAAATGAATTAAATAATTGTGTTTAAAATTTAGGTGATTGGTTCAAATTCAAACAAAAATACGAAATGCAAATTAGAGATAGACAATGACAAAGAAGTATGTAACTTTCAGTTTTCCATATGTAACTTACGTTACTATATTAATAATTTTTATATATGAATGTTTTAGAATGATCTAAGCAAATGTAGTTTGGAAAATGTAAATGAGTATGAAGAATTCCATAATGAAAAATTGACTAAGAAAAATCGTACAAATTTTGAACGAATAAAATGGAATGAATATAAAACTTTCAAAAGTAAGCATGATTTTCAAGTATTTTTGCAGGACGAAAAAATTTGGAGTTTAAATTATAAAAATATTTCAAAAAAAGGATTGAAGAAATATTATCGATGTAATCGTGTAAAAAAACGTGATGGAAAATGTGAAGCAGCTCTTTGTTTATTTGAAAATACAAAAACAAATGATTACGTGCTTCTCAAAAAAAATTCTGGACATACTTGTAGCGAAAAGGATGTAAAAAAAACTTTTAGAATTAATAATGAAGATTGTGACTTTGATATCAATACTGATTTAAAAAATGAAATAAAAATTTTATATCAGCCAGAAATGAAAATTAAAAATATTGTAAATGAATTAGAAAAAAAATTTAAGGACGTAAACGCCAGGAAAGTAACAGACTACTGTAAATACTTAAAAAGTGAAAATGAAAAACAACTCAATTTGGCCATACATGAATGGATAATTGGTCAAACAGTTGATTTCAACTCAGCCGCATTCAATGTTCCTCTAATAGTACATCATGAAAAAAAGGGAGAATGTATCAGGTACCTAACATAATTACTTACCATAAGGTTCATACCTTTTTTTTTAAATCGGTACTTGTTAGTTTTATGTGTGAAACTTTAATTTTTAATTTAAAAATATGTTTCAGATTATTTGTTTCAACAAAAAAATTGTTAAAAAATGCAATTTGTACAAAACATTTAAATTTGAATGGTATCAAAAGACTTACATGGCAGAATTATTGTATTTTTATTGTTGGTACTACAAATGATCAGGGAAATTTTTTAGCGTTTGGTATAGCAGTATGTCCAAGAAATGAAATCGAAGATTTTGAATTCTTATTTGAATCAATAATTGTAGGTGTGAAAAAGTGCTTTATTTTAAATTATTGCCCAAAACTTTTGTACAGGGACTCAAATCTTAATGCTGAAGTTGCATTCTCTCAAATATTTGGGTACGATAAATATACAAAAATATGTTGGCATCACGTTAAATCTAAAATATCAAAGAAATTAGAATATCTTCTCCCAAATCACCATAACAAAAAGGAAAATATTTTGGCGGATTTAGATATTTTGCAAAAAAGTGAAAATTTAAATGCTTTCAAGGATGCTTTTAATTTATTCGAAAATAAGTGGGCAATTTATGTAGAATTTATTACTTACTTACATCAAGAATGGATAAGCGAAAATTACAATTGGTTTGAAGGAATCTATTCAGCTATAATAAGCAGTAATATGGCCTTAGATTGTATAGCAAAAGGAATTGAGAATGATGAAGAATTTCGGTCAAGAATTCCATTTTCACAATTCAAAGTAAAACTTTACCAATGGTTAAAGAATTTAGATAATTTAGAATATAATGATTTAGTATTAAATTACAATATTCACAAGAAAAGTAATTCAGAAAGCAAAAATATTTTTAACCACGATTTTAAGGAAAAACATTTTTGTGAAAATATACAGGAAACGAATTCAAAAACAAATAGTAAAATGAGAAGGTGTAATTTTCAAAGAACTATTTCTCAAACAGAACAAAAAGAAAATGAAAGCAAGCTAAATCGGGTATGGATAGAAGATTGTACGTTTAGTTCGTACTCTGAAGCGCAAAAGGCTATTGCTTCTGAGCAAACTTGGGGCTTTTCGTTTAAAAACAAAAGTAAAGCTGGCGTTAAAAGATATTATCGATGCAATAAGGTACCAAGAAGAGGTAAGGGTTGTAATGCTTCAATTTATTTACTTTTGAAGTCAAATTGTACTGATGTTGTCTTGGGACGATCCAACTTACCACATACATGTCATAAACTAGTATTTAAACCTCGGAAATTGGATGACTCTGTACGAAGTGAAATAGAGCGTTTAACTGAATTGAATTGGAGACCACGTCAAATATTAGAATTTTTTCATAAAATAAATTTTACTCCTATGCCAACCCGTGTTCAAATCTCTAATTATGTAAATGTTATTAGAGAAAAAAAGTATGGAATAATTAATTTAAATAGTGAGGAACTTGAAGTTTGGTTTAAAAATAAATCTGAGCTCCCAGTTAATTTATTAGAAATGTTTATTGTGTCTTATAATTTTAGGAAAGAAAATTTTAATTTTTTTGTTTCATCAAAAAAACTACTTCAAAATGCTAATAATTTGAAAATAATAAATTGTGATGGAATTCATAAATTAGAATGGATTCAATTCCCAATATATATTATAGCAACAAGCGATTCAAATGAAAAATTTAATTGTTTAGGAATTGGAGTTTGCTCAAATAATAATATTGAAGATTTTGAATTTTTATTCAAATCATTAAAAGAAGGAATTTTTCGTATATTTAGTATAGAGATTCATCCTGAAATATTAATTACGGATACAAATTTAAATATTAAAAAAGCATTTCAAAATATTTTCGGTTCTTTATGTAAAATTAGAACATGTTATGATTTAGTACGTAAGGAAATTAAAATAAAATTAGAAGAATTATGCATTAAAAAAGAATTAAAAAATAATATATTAAAAGATACAGATTTATTACATCGAAGTTGCAATCTAAATGAATTTCAATCAAATTTAATCAATTTTATTCAAAAATATTCATCCAATAAAGAATTTTTAAAATATTTTCAACAAGAATGGATTGATTCCAATAGTAATTGGTATCAGGGTTATTGCGAAAATGATTTTAAATTAAATTCAAATTTAGAATTGGAAAATTTTTTAAAATGTATAAGAAATCATAAATTATTTCATAAGAAAATGTCTCTCAGAAATTTTAGTAAAATATTAAGCGATTGTATAGAAATGTGGTCAACATAAGCATAAATTAAATAAAGAAACAAACAAAAATATGAGAATATAAAAGAAAAAGATTCTACTTAATTTTTTTTTTTTTGTTAAATTAGCCTTGACGACCTTTACAAAGCCCGGCTTCAACTAAAAAAAAGTTTTATTTTTTAATCTAAATTACGGTAAAAGAATTAAAAAAAAAAATTATAATATATTAAAGTTATATAACTGTGTAATTGTACTACTATATGTTAGGAAAAATGATAAACATATCACTTTCATTATTTTAATGGGTAGGTATTTAAACTTAAATGCAATAAAAAAAAGACTTGACTGAACATTACGATTTTCATATTAATTTTTCAACAAAATTTAACGTTATTTCACATTGTCTCAAAAAAAAAAAAATTCTTAAAAAGTTAATGTTTTTAATCATAAGTTTTTTCTTCTTTCGGAGTTCTCAAGTGTTTAGGTCGTAATGGTTGTTATACGGAAATAAATATTATGCGTTCGTGGAAGTTACATAATATTTTCATACATTTATGCACATATTTTGAATGGTAGTAATTGTACTAATATTTTAATATTAAAAACAAAAATAAAACATTATAAAATTATGTTAGTTAACACATTTGCAGAATTTTTAAAGATCATAGCTATTTATTTACTATTACTAATGCAACAACTAAGTACAACTAGATTAAACGAAATTAATTGGGACTCCATATAATTTTTATAATACATATGTATCCCTAAAGACCATACAAGTCTAATATTTTTGTTCGTAACGGTATGCATTTCTTATAAAATTTGCCATCTTTATGAATCAATAACAATAATTTGAAATATATTACTTATATCTAATTTATTTTTAAAATTTTCCTTATTATTGTTTTAATAAGATCGACATAATTATATGAGCAAGCACTACTCACAATACATACACACTTATCTTTCCTTAAAAACTAGATTTGTAATTAGGGAGCATTTTACGGGGGAATACAATATAGAGGGACACATAATATTCAAATAGTTGTTCTTTAATTAATTAAAATTATTTGTTTCTTTTTACAAACTTTGTACCTATGTATGTATAATAAAATCAAGAAAGAAAATTTCATTCATAATTTAATCATCAGATGATTCTTGATTCTCGATTTCGTTTCTCTCCTTCATTAGTTAATCTTCTTTTGTTTTTATTTTTCTATTTTACTGCTAAACTATTTGCTATAAAAAGGTACAGTAGTCCAATATAAAACTAAAAAAAAAAAGTTGTGAAAACATAAAAAACCAACAAGTTTTTATATACAAACATAATAATATTATTAATCGGTAAATTTAATTAAACGCAAGTAGACGGCGGATCACAGTACTCAAAATAATATTATTGTTCACTATAGAATCATATTTTGCTTTACTTTTGTAATTTTTGATGCGCGCATTTTATAATAATTAATAATATAACAATATACTAAGCAGGTGACCAGTTACTTAAAAAAAAAATGGAGGACGAGAAAATTTAAAAAACCGTAGACTATTTTTTACCATATCTATTATCAATTATTTAATAAAGAGAGTATTTTTCTATTAAGAAAATTCTTTTCATCGCATAAGAATTTATGGCTTAATCATTTGCAAAATCATACATAATTTTTATATAATATGGTATTGAATGTTCCTAATTTTAGCTTATGCCATTTTTAAAATTTAAAAGTCCGGATGCATTAAAATTAAAACTGTTTGCAAAAAAAAGGGCATATTAGACTTTTAAATTGATTATTTATAATAGTTTCTGTTTATTTGTACTACACTTTGTACTACATATTCACTAATTCCGTTATACGTTAAATTAAGAACAAAAGAATAAATGTTATGTCCTTCTTTTTGCTTTCCAGGGAGGACAAAACCTCGAAAAAAAAGGACAGTCCATTCTATATGTTTAAACGGCTCTCTCTGATATAATACGTAATTATGAATGTTTTTTATATACAATCACAATATGCATTTACATATAGATATACTTTATAATATATAGGCGGTATATGCACGTACTATTATGGATTGAATCAACGAAGTGATGCTTAGCATCATACCGTCTTTATAGTTGCATTTAATACGGTTAACCATTTGAATACAATAGAAATTATAGATGAATATTAACAAAAAAAAAAAAAATAAAGTTGTTTGTAAAGATTAACTAATACCATTATTGTTGGACACACAATGAGATATACATGCAAACAAACATACATAATTTTCCTTGTTTGTATGCTATTATACATTTTTTTTTATTGTTCTTCTCTTTTATATTAAATTTTTCTCTACTTTTTCATTTTAAAATTTTTAACATTTTGAATTTTAAAGATAGATAATATGGCATTACCACGGAGTATAGCATTTTATTTGCGGTTTTGTCTTTAACGTGTTAATATCGTAAGTTTTATTTTATATTTTTTTTTTCTGTGTTTCCTTACAGTGTATAAAGGTATAAAAACTACGGTACTTACAACAATAATATTTTAAATGGAATTTATATTTTCGCTTCTTCTGCGTGTTTACTTAATGGGAAGGAAATAAACAAAAATTTTTGTTATTTTTATTCGTTATTATTTTATTTTCTTTCCTTTTTTACTATAAAATTGTGATTCTTTTTTTTTGTTTTTCGGAAGTAATGTTGTAATACGTAGTTAAACATTGTTAACGGTTGCAAAATTAAAATTTTTATAAAAAAAAAAAAAAAAAATTTTATTTTTTAATTTGAAAATTTAAATTTTTAAAATTGCATATTCATTTTTATGCACAGTGTGAATGAGCATATAAATTAAAAAATAAATAATAATTTTTATGTTATAAAAGTGAATTAAAATCATTAAAATATATATCAAAAAGAAAATATTGTGAATTAATGTAAAACTCAATTTAGAAGAAAAAAATTAAGGAAAATAAAAGTAAATATTTTGAAATAAATGTTCACATTTATACGTACATTTAAATATTTCGGGCATTAATAACAAGGGGTAAAATATCTACACATAGAGGAAATTTCAGTGTCCGCGAAAACTATTATTTTCTTTCTCAAAGTAAGTGCTGTACTTCTCAGTAATTCACTAATATTTTGGTTCTATGTAGCATACTAATAAAAATTTTAGGGTAGTTTGTACTTAAAACAATTGTAAATTTTTCTCAATTACAATTTACATATTTATAATATTTTAGTATGTTGAGTCAAAACAATTAATCTTGCATATAATCAAGTTCACAATAAGTAAAAAAAATTAAAATTGCAACTGCATTTTTTTTACAATTTATTAAATATATAAATAATATGATGTGCTCTGTTTAGAATAAATTTAATAAATGTGATTTTTTAAGATTTGTTTAAATATTTTTGATTAAAAAATTCTATTTTTGTTATCACATTATTTTCAGCTGATTATACACTATTTACTCATGTAATATTTTTCTCATCAATAAAATGTTCTGTTGTTTTCTAAAAAAATCAGACATATTTAGAATAATTAAATGAAATTTGTTTCAGAATTCTTAAAAAAATGTTTCATTTTAATACTAAATTTTACAAAATTAATGCATAATTTATGAAATTTCATTAATATTTTTAAGATTTATTTATTTATTATAATTATTATTGAAATTTTTAATTTACTTGGCCTATATTAAAATGAGATTTTTGTTTTACTTCTTGTTTACTTTACTATTAAGTAATTTAAATATTTGATTTAAATATTTTTATTTGCCATCTCTGTTTCTGTTGTTTTTTTTTTTTTACTTTGCAAATTAAATATTGAATTAATTTTAATGAAATTCTTCAAGATGAAAATAAAATATTTATGTAATTATAATGGGATTTTTGTGTAATATGAGTGTACGGAATTTAAACTATATTATTGTTTGTTTTATTTAATAAAAATACAAGCACCTAAACAAGTATAAAAATCATTGAATTGTTTTATCAAAATAATCATTCTGTAATTCCAGCTTAATTTGCAAGGCATTTTTGCCAATTGATGCTCGATTATTTGGAAACGTCAATAAATGGAAATCTTTTGTTATTGGAGTGAAACAAATTCCAAAATTGTTTATATGAATAATCTTAACCGTTCACTGCCATTGAATTGAAAATATGCTTAAAGTTCTAAAGCATTTGCAAAGCTCCTTTTCTTTAACAGCATCTATAAAATGAGAAACTATTTAATTTTTCCAGATTTAAAATTTGTTAAGCTATGCAAAAAAGAAATTTTTAAAATTTAAATTAGAACTTTAAGTGAATGTGTCGGAACTATAGAAAATCCTCATAAATTATTATTTGTGAAAATTTTTATTTCATTCTAATTTAAACATAAAACTAATTTAAACATGAGATGAATCTCGCTTGATGAAGTACGAGTAGTAGGAACATTATTTATTTAAGCTTTATTGGGCTCCAATAACTATGTATGTAAAATGAAATTTTAAATTGAATTAAGTATTGCTATTTTGTTGATTATGGAAAAAATTTGCTTCGGAGTCATTCGTTGCTGTTCAATATTTCTCAAACAAGCAGTTTATTTTGTCTTTGACTATTTAATTACAAAAAATAAATATAGTATTTGTTTTATTGAAAAAATTCCAATAATATTCATCGATAAATAAATTTAGTTCACGTATATTAAAATTAGTTAAAAATCGTCATGCATGTGTATTATAATTCAAAATTTTAAAACAAAAAATATGTTAACAAAATTAAATAATGAATTATTGCATAATTATGTTTTAAAATAATAAATACGCAAATTTGCAATACAGATATTATATCGATAGCTTTATCAAATTAAGTAAAATATATAAAAAAAAAAAAAAAAACAATTTTTATGTAATTTAAAAATTATTGCAGTCATTTGTAGATGAAAAATTCAAATTTATTTATTTTAGTTTTTTTAAAAAAGACACTAAAAGATCTCGTCAAAGATTAATGTTTCAAACAATTTTCAAATCATAAAGAAATAAAAAAAATTACAAATTAAAAGCCTATATACATATGAAAAGTAATATGTTGAATTGCAGTCGATCAAATCTGAGGGTTTTGTAAAACAGCATATTTCCAATTAACTATATACGTCTAGAAATTTTTATTTATTACCTTGGGTTAAAATAATAAAATGGTTGTATATTGAATAAATAACCGTATTAGATTGCATAAATTTCGGAGGAATCGGTTAATTTGACAATATTGTTTTCAAAAACCTGCACTAGTATGAAGATTTATTATTTAATTAAACTAAATAATTCAGTTAATGGCATACGATTATTCCTTTGTACACTTTTGGATACTTATCTTTTTAAAGAAGTTCAATGGAGTTTATGGAAAGAAATTTAGTTATTATTATTATTTTTTATTATAATTAAGAAGGGAACGAAGTGATAAATAAAATATTTATTGATATCCTGTTAATTATTAAAATAAGAAGCTACTGTTTCGAGAGAGTTGCCTTCTAGTTTAGAAAATATTGCAAAAATTAGTTTAAAGAGCCAAAATGTTGATATTATAGTTTTTTATGATAGAAGAAATGAGCAATTTAGAAATTGTGTTTGGTTTGAACGCAATCCGTATAACAGTAAAAATTTCGTATAACAGACAATTAATGTGTACACTAAAATTTATTATTTCATTTATATTCAACTGTTCACATTGAATTGTGTGCAAGTTTTGTTAACAAATGGACAGAGAGACAGAGTGAAAGTAAAAGGCAAATTTTTTCTAAAATCTTTTTGGAATTGGATTAATAATTATACGTTTATATTTGTATAAATGTAATAGATTAAAGATAAATTATATATAAGATTATATACGTATATAGATTAAACTATTTGGATCATCTTCATCAATTTCATCTCACGGATAATAATTGTATAGCAATAAGATTTTTTCTTTAAATCTTTTGTTTTATATTTTGTACTCTTCTTTTTTTTTTCTTTTTGAAATCTTTTTTTTTTATTTTTTTTGAATAAAGGAGAGCAACATAAAATTGAATTGCATAATTGTGTGTTTTTTATCTGCTTAAATCGTTGGAAATTATGAGTTGTTTTTTATCTTTGATTTTATAAGTTTTAATTTATGCAAATCGGTTGTAGATTTTTCAAAAAAAAAAAAAGAAAAAACAATGCATAAAATAAAAATATCACTTTGAAAATTTTTTATTTTTCTTTACAAATTTTATACATAATGATTTTACTTAGATTATAATATTACTTACATATAAAGAAACGCAGTTAACTAACTAAGTATCATAACTAAAATACATCACCAAGGTTTACGCTCAAAATTTAAATTTTTAATTTAGTTTCTTTATTTAAAATATAATATGTAGTTATAATAATAAACGAGTTTTTAAATAGGCAGACATGAGTGTAAAATTATCGGCACAAGATTTTTTAGGGAAAAAATTTCACACAATTAAATTTTACTAAAAGCTTTAAAGTATTGTGTGAAAATTGAACACAAAATAAAGAAATGTGAGCAACAAAGTTTTCCAATTTTTAAAAACAAATTTTTATTTAAACTCAAATTAATTGAGATTCGAAATTTTTAGTTTTTCCTTTAATTGGGGTGCTTGCAGATACATGAATTAAAAAGCTGGATTTCGGATAAGTATAATTAAATTGACATTGTAGTCATACGTTTTGCAGGAAATTTCTTGATTTCCTTTAAGGTTTAAGCTAGCAAAATCAAAGTTACATACATTTATTACATTACGTAATATTCATATTATAAAGCATCATACTCGTATTTTACACATTTTGTGGTTTAAATAAAAAATTGTCTAAATCGAAAAAATCGAATTTTGAGTAAATTTAAAAAATAAAAACCAAAGGATTACTTTACTTGTTAGTTGCCGTTTTCAGCGATTCCATTTAGATTGGACGACTTCCATTTTTGAAAAAAAAAACCAAATTTGAGAACTTCTATTGATCCAATTTCGATTAAAAACAAACAAAATTAAAAGAGCAACAAAACATTTAAAACAAAGTTAAACAACACAAAATTTAAGAGAGTTTAGGAAAAAATTCGAAGCATGTTTTAACAAATTAAATTTGAAGTTTATATTTAAATTTTGAAAAAGTTGTAATTTTTCCCACTTTTCGATAACTTTTGGTCAAATTCCCTTACACTGATTAGATTAAAATTATTCGATGTCGAACCGATGTCAAACATTTGTAATGAGAATTGATGTTAAACCGTGGAAAACATCAGTTAATAACAAAATTAAAAATTATCAAACACAAAGAAATATGGAGTTTTTGATGGCAATCACAGAACTGCTAACTAACATGTGAATAAATGCATTTGTATTTATTCACATAAATAATAAATAATACATAACGTGTGTATTTTATCCTATTAAATTAAATATGGGTATTTGCATAAATTTAAATAAAATGTAAAGTGGTTTTTTTCATGAATTTACTCGAATTTATTTGTGCGGTATCAAAACATCACTATTATTTGAACATATATACTTCGTGTATATTTTTTCAATGTGCTTTTTTCACCTTGCAACAGGTAGCTTTACTAAAGTAAACAGACTTGATACACATTATATAATTGGAGGAGTTTTCTGTGTTTTTTTTTTTGTCCTATAGGTATTTAAGAGAAAGTTTTGTAAAATTCAATAATAATAGATTTATATAGTTATAAGAGAGATTTTTATATATTGATGTGCAGGTACATTTTTAACAGGTTGTGGTGATATAGAAAAATATTATAGATTTGATAAGTAAATTTATAACGAGTCATTTTTTTTGCTGTTTAGTTTTTTATGTTATTTTTGAGGCTTCACGCGGGATTCTTTTAAGTTGTCAATATCAAATAAACAATTGTGGAGCTCTCTTATTCTATTACGTTTCATTCTATGTCGATGACTTAAGGCGTACAAAAACTGAAATCATGTTCACAAGAACTGAATCCAAGGGATCAGCATAGTGTCAAATTCTTGAGGTTTGAAGAAATTGTTTTAAGCGATGAAATTCGTCCATATTATGATTTATTAAATTTGTTATTAATTGGAAACGAATCATATTGCAAGAGTGGCTGAAAAATTCCAAAAAATTAGTGCTTTGAATATTTATGTTTAATTTTTTTGTGTTTATTAAGTGTAATTTCAATGCACTGGAAAGTTTTGACAAACAATATCCAAATAAATTACAACTTTCCAATTTTAATTAACATTTCTGTTAATTCATATTGAAAATTTGTAAATTTTGTCTGTTCGTCAATCAGTTTGCTAATTAGAATGAAGAAAATTATCAAAAATCTCTCAGTTAAGGAGTTTGCAACCACTTAATTATTAAAATGGCATAAAAAGTGGCTCAATTGCAGTTTCCTATATATACAGTTGAATGAATCAAAATTACTACATTCACGAGCATAAATAGCAAAAGTGTCATAGTAGTGTCATATTAAACAATAAAACTGAAATTTTGAAGGAAAATATTTTAAAACTTTGACGTATTACAAAAAAGTAATTTGGTAGTCAAATGAAGTATAACTGAGTATGCATACCAGAATTGAACCCCTCAATTTCATAAAAAAATTATTTATGATATGTGTGGAGTTTGGACTATGACTATGCGATATCAATAACAACGGTACTTTAATTACAGAATTTCTTATATTGTAAAGTGCATTGGTATCATATGTAAATATATTTATAAGTTTATGTAACTGTAATAAGCGATGTATATATTATATAGAAATTCACTTAACCGAAAATAATATTTAATTCATGTTATATTAAACATTCATTAATTATTCATTAAATCATTTAATTTAATAATTTTCATGATCTTCCATAATATATAAGTTTTATGATTCTATAAAATATTTATATTGTGTTGTATGGTATAAAATATTGAATTTAAGCATAATAAAATTTAACTATGCATAAAAATTATTGTAAATTAATAAACTGTAATTAAAATCCAAAAATATACGTACTTATATTATTTGTATTGTTTTAAATACTTCTTAGAGTTTTATAATTAATTTATATGCAATTATTAAATAGACTGAGGGCAAGCAAATTTTGTTTCCGCTTATTTGAAAATAAGGATTATTTTAGCGAGACAATTTCTGGTTTTCAAAGTTTTTTTCCGGAAATATAATTTAATAGTTATTGTTTAGGGATAAGGTATACACTAACTAGTTGATAACACTTATTCATAAATTGGGTTTTTATTGACAGGAAGTGAAGTAAAATAAATATTGAAAAATAAGTATTGAAAATGTAAAATAATTTTTGCCGTTTTCTCGTTATTTTCTGAAACATGACAAAAAACTCACTTGTCATATGACTTCTGCAAATGTATTCCTAAAATCCCATTACTATTTATGTGTAACTCAATAGCAAAAATTTTGCTATGTGTGAATTTAAATCAAAAAATATGACATTTTTTGCCGCTTTTTAAAAAATGCAGTGACTTCATAAATTCATAAAGTATTCATAAATTCACTGCATTGTATTCAGACTCCAAAGCAAATGACCTATTAATGTGTATAAATTTAATAAATACTGAATAATAAAGAACCGGAACATTTTTAAAAGCAAATTAATTTATGATTCTACATACACATTTTGATTATTTTATAAAATATTTAAATATCATCCAATAAAAACTATAAATTTATAATTAAATAAGTAAAATATAAAAACTTTTAATTAATATAGAAAATTTTATTTGTTTCTTTTCATTTCAGATGTTCTAAACTTATTACGAACAGAGCTAAATATTTTATTAAATGATCATTACTTTATTTCATAATAATATAGTAATAAATTAATATAGAAGAATAACGTTAATAAAATTATATACAAATTTTATATACACAACCTACCAGTTTTATTATCTACAAAGAATTTAAAATTAACAATAAAACACAAACAAAACAAAAAAGGAGAACCGAATATATAAAAATAAAAAATATATGTATATAATAGAGAAATCATGGTAATGCAAAAAATATTGGTAATATTATTTCATCAACAACTTATTTTACGTTATGGTATCTGGGCATTAAGAACAACTGAAACGCAATCATTGTACTCTACTAAATTACCAACAACAATATTTATAAATTATAATCAACACCAGCACCCTAATGAAACAACTATTATACAAACAGCAAATCATATAACATTAAATAAAAGAGATGATAATAATATAACAGAATTAAATAAAAATTTAAAAAAAATAGAGGAAAATATGCAACAAGAAAATGCAACAGATTGGAAATTACAAAAAAAAATTATAAAAAATTCTTCAACAATAATTAAAGAACAAAAAACTGTGCCACCAGTTCATTCTTCTTTATCATCATCATCATCAAAACCAAAAAAAACTACTACAAGTACAACAAAACGTTCTACACAAACAACACATCATTATCATCCACCGTTAGGAAAAATGATGAAAATTAATTCAATTGTAACGAATTGCACTAGAGATTTATTTCAGATTAATGTTGATTTAGGTAAAAAATTTCGTGGTATATTCTTTGCTAAAGATTTTGTACATGAATGTCGTATACATGGTAATTATAGTACATTTATTACACTCCAATTACCAACATCTGGTTGTGGTGTTAGATCCGTACCAAAAAATGATGGTACATTAGAATATTCTGTTAAAGTAATGTTACAAATGGATGAAAAATTACGTCAAAGTTCTGATATATTAAAAATAGTTAAATGTACATTACCAACATCATTAATGAGTATGGATGTATCAGGTGAATCAATTATTGATGACGATGATATGAAAAAAATTTTTAGGTAAGTAATTTTTTCTGTCTGATTGTTTCGATATTTTTTTGTAAACAACAAACGATTATTTTAGAACTGGTGTAATGCCATATATATCTATCAAGCCTCCAAGCTGAAAATATTTTCGAAATTTTGATATATGTATATGGCGTTAACTGGTGCAATGCTTTGTGATAAAAGTGTTACTCACTTTTTTTTTAGAAAACAGATTCCATATTTTTCGCTTCAAAACTCTCTTTCAAATTTTAAATTTAATTTCTTTTTAAAGTTTTCCAAAGAAAAGAAAAGTACCTATTAAAAAGTAAAGGCCTTTCTCTGTACTTCACTCCTTTTTCTGGGTGAGAGGAAACGACAACCATCATTTCATATGATTGCGCAAAGTAATTTTCAAGTACGAAGAGTTTGTATCATGTTGGCATTTCGAAAGAAAAATTATTCTTTAAGTTTTGAAGTTGGGGCTCTGTAAATATTAAAAATTCGTGTATGGTACTCAGTTTTCGCTTACTTGGTCACAGATTTTCTCGCGCTGGTTTTTTTTTTGTTCCTATGTTAGCAATATCTGATTTTCGTTTGTATATTTTAAATTCGGAACTTAATTGGTTGGTGGATATATAATACCACATGTGCTTACATATTTATATTGTTTTACATCTTCCATATTATGCGCCAGTTCCGTTAAATTGCACTTATATATCTATAACATATACATGTAAATATAGGTGATAGGTCTATATCTATAACATATAGAGCATAATGTAGGTGATAGGTCTGACAATACCTACAATGATAATGAAAGAAAAGAAATTATTTTTTGTTTAATTAAATTTTGCAATTAAAATCAATTTCAAATAAAATAAGATATTAAATTCAATATTAAAATTTATAGAAATTTTTTGTTATTTAACCCATTTTTTCCTAGTTTAATATTGTTCTAGATTTTAAAGGCGAATCAAAAAAAAATTACCTTAAAAACAATTCAAAAAACAATTATACGACGCTATACTTAAAACTGTTCGACAATTATATTAGAATCTGTTATACATTTTAAAAAAACATCAGTTAATTAATAATGTCTTCATTTAGTTTTTCATAAAAATCATACATGTTAAGAATTGATAAAAACAAAAAAAAAATAATAAATAGAAAAAGTTACAAAATTTCACACATTAAAATTTATTACTAATTTTAAAATCTAATGGCGCTTTCCTTATATAAAAACGTATACATATATAATATAATAAATATTTATTATTTTTCTTTTTTATAATTAAATTTAAAAAAAAAACATAAAAGAAATGGCCGAATGAGATTATCATCAACCGCAAATCATCATCATTTAAATAATCATAAATTTTCATTACATTCAAATTCAACTGGTATTGATGAAACAACAGATACATTATCATCATCATCTACATCATCATCATCGATACCAAGAGTTAGAATATGGTTAGAATTAGGTGCTAATAATGCTGATAATGTTGATTCTGGTGCAGTACAAGTTGGTCAACCAACAACATTAGCTATTCGTGCTGTATTACCGGGCACAATAGGTGTTCGAATTATTGATTGTGCTGCTTTAGATGGTTTAGGTGATTCATCACAACAGCTTTTAGATCAACGGGGTTGTCCAGTTGATGAACAGGTTAGTTTTATAAATATAAAGAAAGAGAAGGAAAAGAAATTAAATTTTATTTTTTTTTTCTAAACGCTTTATTATGCTTATGTTGAAATGAATTGTTAAAAATATTGCTCTTCTTTTTTTTTTATTTTTTTTTTGCGTCGTTTTTTTTTTATTTTCCGACCTCTATAAGTATGTATGTATGCTCGTAGGCATTGACAACTCAATTAAGTTAAAGATGGCAAAGCATTTGTTGCTTATAGGTAAAAAAATAACGAAAAGCAATTGCTCTAATAACAAGTGATTTGTAAGGAAATCAAATTGCATTTTCTTAAAATATGTATATATTTAATATGAACTTGGCAATGGAGTATTAAGAAATTAATAAAGTCATATGCTGATTAGTTTGCATTTAAAAAAATTGATAGAGTTGAATACATTTTATTTAATAAATAAGTGAAAAATCTTAAGAATTTGAATGGAATCTTGTGGATCAAATTTGAATGAAAAAAAGATCAATATTGTTGGTATAAAAAACAATAAGGCCGTATAAGGTTAATTAATTTGGTTAAATTTAATGAGTATTTAGTACCTTAACTTAATTAATTTAAAAATAGTTTTATAAAAAATTATTTAAGAACTAAGCCTAAATTAGAATAAAAATATTCACAAAATTGTTTTCACTGGAAAAATATACAGAACTAGTCTATTTTGAATAGCTGATCTCCAGTGTTTTCTTTGTAATAATTGGTAATAATTAATTCCATGTACATAAAAATCAGTTTTATAAACATTATGAACGTATCATTAACTTTGTAAATATTTTATATCTTTTATTAAAAAGAAAAAATGTGTATTATTTCGAAATGAAACTTGAAAGTGTAAAAGGAAATTTGTAAGAAAAAGTCATTGCATTACACATGCTCATATACATGTAATAAAATACAAGTTAACTGAGTTCATTTCTAATAATATTAAATTTAAACACTGTGCGCGTATTACAATAACTGTTTGTGGGGTCTTGAAATCTAAGAAGTTTATATTACACATGATATTTGATCTACAAATAGATTATAATAAATACTGTTATACTGATGATTTTTTAAATTTATACGGTGACGAACGACGATATAATATAACGTTTTATTGTGTGTGCGCGCATAGGTAAATGAATTTCTTAATATTTAGAAAATAAAATTTTTCATTTAATAAATAATTTAAAAAAATTTCATTCATTTTTCAAAAGAGAATTGAAAAAAAAAGTTATGCTATAAAATACGAGCAGTTTCATGTTCACGAGATCGGTTACTTACAAATTTATTAAATTCAAAATTGCTGTATCACATTTCAACTCTTTTAGTACGCAATATACCCCTTCAACAGCAAAATCCATGTTTTACAAGAATATTTTCTAATTTGTATATCAGGGGTTATGTTACAGGGATGAAGTTATATCACTTAAATTAAGAATAAAATTAGGAGCTTTAATTATATTATGCAAATTGTAGGCATAAAGTGTTAAATTTAAATTAAATTTAAGAACATACATATAATATTTACGTATAAATTATAATTAAATTATTTATTATAAGAAAAATATGAAATTATTAACCTTAACATGTGATAATCAAAAAAAATATGCCATTCTTTGGGGCAGTATGTTTTTTTTTTAATTTATAAATAAAGAATTCAATGAGAATTTTTGTTTTCGATTTTTCCCATACATTGTAATTTCAAAAATAATTTTTCAAGGGACTTTCACACTGTTAAAAATTTGGTGTAAAATTGTATTCGATTTCATTCTATTTATGTAGTATATGGTAGTATGTATCCATGAATGTATGTATGAATATTGAATTAATTCGTTGCATGAGTACGAAACGTTGAAAATATGCATTGGCAAATTTTTTATAAAATTTCTATAAAACTGAATTATTTGATACTTCAAATAAACGGCCTTCAATGCCTTCATGCCTTGAATATTACTGTAATATATATACATTTATGTAAAATTTAGCAATTACAACTCAAAAGTTGAAGACCGTATTACTGCAATTTTGAAGTTAGGTTACGGTGACATGTCTACCAGAAAGTACAAATAGGCCAGTATGACCAGTTTTTATACCGCTGGATCAAAATTATCCGCCAGCCTCATGATAACCAGCCTGAGCTTTTTTGAAACCGGCTAAGGCTCTTGGCATTTGAATTCGCCAGATTCGTTGTCTGTGAAAAAAAAAATTACATAAGGTATCTCAGAGTTTCTGCCAAAGCCGGACATCGTCTCCTTTTCCTGGAATTTTGCAGTTAAAGAAATCTAAAAAATTTACATAATTAAATAAGAAATTGCAGTATACATACATATATGAGTAATTTATGAAGCTCATTGGATAGCAAATATTGTTATTGAATTTATATTAAAAAATAATCTATAAATTCGCTATTGCTTATAAAATTATTACTACAGTATAATCATTTCATGTTAAATGTTTAACTTCATTACATATTCATTCAAATAAATTCATGGTAAAATTAACAAATTTGATTCTTGAATTTTTGACTGTATATTTCTTTCTTCTCGAATAAATTTCTTAATTTTTGTATTTGGTTCATCTTTGCTGTTTAAAAAAAAATTTATAATTTTGTAATTAAAGAGAATATTTTTTTTCTTTTAAGGTTATGACATTACATATATTACAATAATTATATTGTAGAAAACAAGTATTTGCGTTAGATTAAACTGACCACAGATTTATTAATACAGTTAAAATCATAGTATTCTAAATATATACATACATACATAGATAATTAAAACAAGGAAAGAGAAAAAAAAACGAATTATAAAATTTCGCATAAAGATTAATATCTTTGCATATAAACTTCTGAATCATAAATTTACAAGATGATTAGCTATTGTTTGAAAGTATTATTGTTGTACTAAAAAATTTTTGAACAAATTTTCAAAAATAACAGAGGTAGGCAGACAACAATAAGCAAAAAATTGTAGTTAATTCAATTTTTTTTACAAGTTGATGCGGTTTGTAAAATAGCACATTTCATTTGTGTCAAAGTGAGGGACAAAATTTGAGCTACAGCTAGAATTTACATTATATTTTTCCGATATAAATGGATTCGAAAACAAAACAAGATATTGTACAATTAAATTAATTCTTATATAATTGTACAATTAAATTAGTTCGATAGAGTTTATTATTTCGTAAGAAAATATGTAGCTGAAAATTAGCATTTTCAAAATCGTAATATCTGTTTGAATTGTAAGAGTATATACTTTGAAGGGGGTGTGCCAAATATTAGTAAAATAAAATTTTGATGCACATTACTTATTCTTTAAAATCTAATTGTCAAATATTAGCTTTCTATTTTTTACCTTTTGATAGACAGACATTAAGGACAGAGTAGAATCCATAATATTTTTTTATTGTTTAAAAATTTTTGAGAAATTTACTTAAAACCAAAACGTTTACAATTTAATAAATTAAAAAGAAAAATTTGTACAAGTTTAACAGTAAAAAAGTATATGAAAGTATATAAAGTTATTAAAATACAAAAGGGACTTACAAAAACAAAAAACATATATTGTTGACCCAATTTTTCGAAGTTTCTTATATTATATAGTGGAATTGTCTATACAGACACGATGTTTGATTAATGCTATTATAACAGATTTGCTCTCATTAAGTCTTCTTTTTCTTTTTACTCTTGATTAGTAGTATTATGTATTTAAGGTATATAGTTATAACTTTCTGCAAATATTTATTCTTTTGCCAGAGTACACAGTGTATAGGTAACAAATTTAAAAAATTTAAAGTGAATAAATTATTTAAAACCTAGTAATAGTAAAAATACAGAAAACAATATGCTAATTTTGTTGTTATCAATCTAGTTTGAGAAAGTAATATAATAAGTAAATTAAATTAGATGAAGAGATCAAGAATTAAAAAATAAAATGTTAAGGTAAATAATGGGAAACTTTTCAGTGTAGATAATTTTTTCTACATTTTAGTTAAAAAAGAATTTAGTGTAGGTATAAAACATAAAATTCATAGCTTGAAATTTACCGGACCCAAAAGGTGTAAACAGTTTTACATTAATCTGATAATTCAAACACTTTCTACACCTCTTTTGAAGAAATATCAAAAAATTTCTACCACCATAATTTCAAAGTATTTTAACATATTTACAAATTTATGATTTATTTAAAATATTTTTTTTAATAAATTTGGAATTCTACTGATTCTATTGATTTTATTAAAACACCAATAAAATTTGAATAATTGAATTAACACAGATTTAAAGCCCTTTTATTTAGATCAATCAATTATGTTACGAAAACTTTTTATATTTAAAATAGGGTGATTTTAGTTCCAGTATTTTCATTTTTTACTTTTGTAATAGTTTCCAAAATGAATTCTATTCCGTTTAGTTTGTTATCTCATAGTGTGGAAGTTGATAAGTTTATAGTAATTCATTAAAGTCACTTACTGGATTTGTTAAGTGATCGTCGACATCTTACGATTTTACTCTTTTTTTTGAATAAGTGTTATTACAGTTTCAGAAATCAATAGTGGACGTGATATTGTTAGTATTTAGGCCGATATATGAGAAAAATCACCTCGAAATTAGACCATTCGAATATCAGTCCATCTAAAATGTAATAATACCCAAATATTTACATATATTAAATTGTATTTTTTTTAAAGTAAATGTAAAAGATTAATTGTGAAAATTTGAAATTTTTCTGTCTTACTTTAAATTAAAAAACCAAATGGCTTACAAAATCACCCATTATAAAAATTATACACCAATATAGTAAGGGTCTGTCAATATTCCAATTCCAATTCAAATATATACTAATTTATTACATTGACCGCAAATAAAAAAAAAGTGAAATGAATAAAAAAATCAAACTAAGATAATATGTGTGATGATTTATCAATTCAAATACCTACATTACCTTTTTTTATTGTCTCTTTTTGGAGAGTTATTTGTTTAGATTTTCTTTTAAGCCGGTTACTTAATCATTGTTTTTTTTTTTTTTGAGGAAGTACACAATTCATTTTAGCTTTAAGGTGTTAAACATTATCACTTTCATTTCAAAAATTTCTTTAACCTTGTATTAAGATGATGTGAAATTTGTGTAATATGTAATAATAGAGACTTTTATAGATACACATATGTATTTTAGTTTTTTAGATGCATACGTACGTTTTTATGCGTGATTTGAAAATACAACATTGAGGTGCATGTATGGTAGAGTTAGAGTAACCATACTACTCACATATTATTTTGTTATAAAAATAAATTGAAGCTCAATATTAAGTCCTATTTTGAGTGATATTTGTTCAATTATTTAAGCTATATCACATCAGATACATTATTTTGTAACCCCAGACGTGATTATTTCAGGAGATTTCTATTAGTTATAATCTAAGAAATATATGTTTAACTCTCTGATGTACGTTATCAAGCGACGTGTTATGGAAGGAATAAGCCTAGGACGAAAATTATGTGTAATGTTATTTCAAATCTTTAGTTTTCTTTATATTAATATTAAACTGATTGACTGTTGAAGTAGCTCCTTACATTAATTGTCAAAACATTAAATTTTTGAAGCCATTTTGCAATAACTCATTCCGTCTTTCTTCGAAATCAAGTAAATTGAATGTAAATCATGAATGTCCAGACCAGTCGACAGAATCTCATATAAGATTGTAAAGTGAATTTCATGCCAGATTGTAAATTGAATCTCATATGATACTTTCATAATTTCAAAATATTAATTTTAATTTTTGCAGACCATTTCTTTATTATTTTATTCATGCAACGTTTTATAAAAATCACCAAAACTATTGATTATAATTTTCAAAATCATCAAAAAGTAAAATTATTTTTTTTTAATAGATAATTAAATTATTGAATTTACAATTTTTTTGAATGTTATATTTGGTTGGTTTTATATAATATTGTTTTATTAGACTACGCTTGAATTAGCGTTCGTGCCAATATGAAAAGAAAAAAAAAAGGAGTATTCTTGTGGTTTTTTAACGCCTCATACCCATACTATTTCTTGCAATTGAAAAGAAAAATTTAAACAATAAAAGCTTTACTATAATTACATATAATAATAACACGTTAGTACGGTATAGAGAAATGGTAATACACAAAAAATCAAAATAAAGAGCAGCATGCATTTTTATAATTGGTTAATTATGAAATTTGACAAGCTGTGCAGTAGGTATATGTACACTGGATATTAAAATGTGGAATATTTGTATAAAACTACATGCTTAGCTGTGTATTGATTATTTGTGCATATTTTATTTTATACATAATTCGAATTTCAATGACTAAATATGTAAGTGCATTACTATTATATTTTCTTTTGTTTTCAAATGATTTTAAACTGTTGTTTATATAAAGTGTAAAACACCGTGAAAATTTAAAACTTTTGTATAATTATTATGGCATGCAATAAAGGTGTAATACACATATGTATATACACATGGCTAAAAATATTAGAAAAACTAAAATAACTAATTACCTAAGTAAGCGCCAAAAATGTTTTCAAAATATATTTTTATGATCTCTTTAAAGCTTGAAATCTTCGTTTATACCTTCTTTTCTTCCAAAAAACCTCTTGTCCGGACATACACATTGTAATTCGCTTCGGTTTAGAAATTGATTGAGAGTCTTTGAAAATTCTTTCCATAACCATTCTTTCTATTATTGGCCCCCAACATGCTTGTAAACTTAGGGGGATGTGAGTATGGACATCTTTTAAAAGAAATATGTGTCCATTCAAAGGATGATATATTTAGTATTTAACCGCCAATATTGGTGTAACTTTAATATTCTGCTCATATGATTATTTTATGTAATGTTATTTATTCATTTCCCTAAACGTAGATTGAACGACTGCTACGTTGCAATCCCAACGAATTGTCTCATAACGTTAATTTACATTATTTAAATGAAGGGAATATTGTAAATATGCATATGATGTAGATATGTACAAAATGCAGGTGCACGATCCAGTGCTACAATGACTATCTTTAAAAATAAAATATATTGACTTGGCTATTAATCTAAAATTATTAGAGTAATAGATTTAAATTCTTCATTTTTCACAGTATTTTAAATATTTTACAATATTTCAAACTTCTTCAAATTAAAAAAGATTTTTTTTTTCAAATTTATTCAAACTTGCCTAGTTATTTTAAATTTTGACATTTTATCAAAATTGTTAAATATGTAACTTGTTTACACAATAAATTTACTACTCTATATTATGAATTTTGAAATGTCACTTTAACTTAACGTTAAAAGAGTCGTAATGAAAATTGCACTTTGCACTATCAATTTTTGAAAAGGAAATTTGTTTGTTTCTTTAGAGAAATTCGTGTTATATAAAGGGCTATAATTACAGAATCAGTAAATGACCTTTATTTAAAATTTTATAATATAATAACCGAATAATGAAGTTATTTATTATATTGGATTTATATAATATTTTCGTTATAATCACATAATTATCATTTTTTTAATACATTAATACATACATATAAACAAGCTATATATACATTCATTGATAATAATATAACCATAAACTAAAAGACATAAATTTTAAATTTGATATGAATTCAAGTACATCCTATTGTCTATAATTCTTATAAAATATTAAAATCTCATAATTATTAAGCATAACAAAAATTATAAAACCATAAACTACACTATTACTAAATATTAAATGTACGTTTTCTTACGTACGTTCATATGTGTGTATTTGTATGTACGCATAAAATATGAGTATTTAAAAGATTGTTATATTAAGATCACAAAATTAATTTCCTTTTTATAAAAACTTAATGGTAATTCTTAGTATACACAATAATAAGTAACAACACCAAAATTGAAAAAAAAATATCTGTTTCACCTTAAATAATGTTTTGTTTATAATCAAAACATAAACGTCATAATTAATTATTTATATGTTATGACAGTTAAACACATATCCGTTATATCCATGCCCGGTAATACACACGTCATACTGATTTGTTTTACCTTTTCAATTTAGAAAAATATCAATTATTTGATTTGGCAAATATAAAATTTAACATTTAAAAATATTATAAAAATTTAAGGTAATGCCTGCACTTCAAGTTCGTATAACACCGGCTGAAGAAGGATGGTCTAAACCACATCAAGATGATTTAGTTGAAAAATTATTTACTGCAACATTTCCAGCTTTTAAGTTTCCAGATCGAGAAAGATTACATGTCAGTTGTGGAGTTCAATTATGTAAAGGAGCATGTCCAAGTGTATGTAAATAATAAGGAGTATATAGATACTACTTTATTAATAAATTATTTTATTCAAAAATAATTGGTGAATCATTTACTTAAAAATTATCATTAAAGGTTAATTGTGAAACAGATGAAAATTTGATATTAACACAAGAAAAACAACTTGCAAGAATAGAAGTATTCAATTCATTGGCAGTTACAGCACCACAAATCGAATTAGATCGATATAGGCAATATGATCGTAGATATAACATTAGTGGTATAAAAGTTTTTTTCTTTTTAATTATTGAATGCAAACCTAAACTAAAATCTTTTATACAATTTTAATATAATTTTATTTATAGCTGAAGAATATCCACCAAGAATAAGAACATTACATAGTGATGGAACATTATGCCTATCCATATCAAATTTAGCATTGGCATTCTGTATATTAGGTTTAATATTTTTATTAGCTGTAATTGTAGCTGTATGTTGTTTAATTAAATCACGTTCTCATACAAAATCAAATAATTCACATAGAGCAGCTAGTACAAGTGCATTCTCTACAAGGTATTTATTTATTTAAAGATGTAGTAAGTACATAATACATTTGTACATTTGTATACGATATGTGACATTTTACTTTTTTTCCCCCTCCTTTTCGAGATTTTGAGTTTCAAGGGGTGGTATTTCTGAAAAACTTTCAATTTTATCTCCTTACAAGGTGGAAAATATAAAAGGTAGAATTTTAGAGTTTTAGGTCACCACATTTTAGAGTTTATAAAATTCCCTTTCAATAATGATTTAGTGTCAATGATATTTAATAGATATACTTTGTTATATTGATTTAAATTATTTCGGACACCCTGTATATAATCATATCTGTACTATTATTAAATAACCTTAAAAATATTAATTAATTAAAATTTTCTTTTTCTTTTCAAAATTAAAGCAGTGATTCAGCACAATCAGCAAGAGGAACAACTAGTAAATTATTAATACCGTATTATGCTGGAACCTTACCATATGGTCGAGTTTACTAAGGAAAAAATAAATATTTTATTAAGAATGTTTTAATTATTTAATTTTTTTTATATAAATGATTTTAACAACGTTAAATATATATTTAGAAATCAAATTGCGGTCAGAATGTATAATTAAACATTTTTATGCCTACATATAAATATTTATACAAATGGTTTCTACAATAAGAGAAGACTGAATCCTGCATGTAAACTTACAATGTATACGTACATAAAAAAAAATATATGTATATTTTTTTATTCTTTCATATGCATAATACATACATAGGCATACATATATAAAAAATCATTGTAGATATAAATTTAATAATAAATTATAATCTTATTTATATGAATTGTTAATCATGAAATAATTAAAAAACTAAGGAGTACTTAATAAAATGATTTTGAATTATTTTTGAAATTACCGTTATATATATATATATATTGATACACACATACTTTATATCAATATCATTTTATTGAAGAAAATTATGAAATATGACAAAATTTTTCTAAACTTACGAATATGCAGAGCTATAAATTTAATATTCTAAGAGCCAACGATAAATGGGATTCCAGAAATGAATGAACTCTCGATTTTCAAACAGCCCTTGGTTGCAGTCTCATGAATAAACAGCCTTTGATTCCAGCTTCTTCTATTGCTTGCTTTCAAAACTAATAAATTTTCTAGCTATTCTTCAAAGCTTTTAATTAAATTTCGTTTATAATTCAAAAAATTCAGTTCTTAAATTTAGAATTGCAAAGAGTGTTAAATTTTTTTTTAGAAAATTAAAAAAAATTTAAGGCATTTAATTTTGGTGATGGTAAAAAAAAATTCTAAAAAAACAGCAAAAAAAAATAAAAAATTTTATAAAGTTTGGGTCAACAATATTTTTTTTAAATTTTTAATTAAAAATTGCTTTGTGATAACAATTATCATATTTTGAAGTATGAAAAAATAATGGAATTTTTAAAGTATTAAAAAACAAATTGCAATGACAGATTTATTTTATGAATAAATATATTTTATATACATACTTATATTTAAGGTTTATAATTATAAATTTTCGAACAAAATTGTAATTAAATAAAGTAATAAATATTTATAATATAAAACTCCAAACTTTATTATTTAGTTCTTCGTTTTTAATCAAATTTATTTATTATTTATTGAACCATTAATTATTTCTAGACCATACCGACGAATCCCAGTATATAACGTCCACTGGGAATCGTGGGGGCTCCGAAGAGATCACAAAACTCCGCTAAAAGCGTACTAGCCTGAAGCGACTCCCAGCCTCCCATTCGTACAGCACATGGTATACCGCCTCCTTCTTTTCCAAGCAGAGTCAAAAAAGTTCACTCTTGCTCAACTTGCGCATTCTTTCCAGGAGAACCGCCAAGATACAATGCCCAGTAAGCACTCCAACCACCATCCTCAATTCTGAACTATTTGATCAAAATCAGTATAAAATAAGAATTAATACCGAAAAAAAAATTGCCGTCAATGTGTAATTAATCGTTCTTTTAATTTTTTCTAAATGAACCTTTCCGTCTTTAGAATTGAAAGCTATTTTTGACAAATATAAAGTAGCAATCAAGTAAACCTTTCCATTTTGCAATCAAGTAAACTTCTGTTCGATCATTTATCAGATTTATAAATTTATCAGAGATTTTTAACAAATTAAAAAATGAAAACACAAGAGAATCAAATCAATAAAAAAAATATCGAACAGATTATTTTCATTCATTTTCTGTACCATGCAGTATTATCTCCTAAATAATAATTTCGATACACAATATAATCAGTATGAAAAACGTAGCAAAATTATCGATAAAAATGTGGGTAGTATTTTAATTTCCTAACTCTACCTAAAATTTACCGTACAACTTTACATAGCTAAAATTTTTTTTCAAATTTCGAAACAGAATAGCCATGAAATATTTTTTACTATTTTCTAGAATATACATATGTATAAAAAAATTTTAAATTTATTTCATAATTAAATTTGGAACTGAAATTACAGAAAATTTTGAAATTATAATACAAAATGCTTAATTTAAATAAAAAATGGCAAATGAAACAAATTTATTTTGAGAATAATGCTTGTAAAGAAATATCAGCCATTCAAAAATTGAAGAAGTATTTGAATTAATGGATTATTAATACAAAATGGCAGCTGAAAGGAAAAAATATATTTGAATATACAAATTTCATATCATATGCAATTAGAATTCCTAGAAATTGTAATGATGATGAATATAAATTTATATCAAGTTATGATATGGATAAAATAAAAATGGAGACCTCATGATGTGATCAATTTAATTGGTGTAAAACAAAATACCAGTTGATATGAATATTTAATGATCCTGAAAGAACTAGAAGAGTTTATTGAATTTGAAATAGAATTTCACAAAAGAAAATAATTTATTCATGGTAAGTGCTTATTTGATTTTTTTAACCTTTTTTAATATGAACTACAAATTTAAGCTTTATTATATAATAGGGTACACAATTTAATATTCTAACTAAATAATTAGGGCTCTTAAAAATTATTCTAAAGATATCGTTCCTAACATCAACGATAGACGTTTTAGTTTCCTAACTAAAACGTCTTTTAAGACAACTTCAAACAAATTTTCTTACAATCGCATTTTTTTTGTTATGGTTAGTTAAGTTACTATCATGAACACAAACCCAAAACAATATGATTTATGTATATAGTAAATACTTCAATAAATTAAATTTGAGAAAAATTGGGAACAGTTCACATGAAAATGGAATATCAGAAAATGGATTTTACCTTAACTAAGAGTTAATATCGTATACGTTATCAATTTAACGAATATGTACTTACTAAAACATTCGTCATATATATTCGACATAAATACAATTCGAAATTATTCGAAATTTAAAAAAAAATTACGATAATAATTAACGAATATTTGAAATTCAAAACAAAAATATAATTCTACAGGCTTGTGTTTCATAATCAAATTTTTGAATAATTTCATATCGTAAAACCACGATAGCAATTTATTTTTCGAAAGATGTTGCACGACATCTATTATTTGAAACAAATATTATGTTTATATTTTTAATATAACAAATTTTGAAATTGTAATTGAATTAAAAAGTAAGACAAATTAATAACAATACGAATTAAATATAGTTTTTGTAAATTTGTACAATCTAGGAATCTATGAAATACAGTTTTTGAGAATTATTTAGAATTTTTCTGGTGTATTTCAAAATTTTTGTCTGGTATATTTGAAAATTTTTTAATATTTGCTGGACAGTGACAGGCCTTATATTAAAAATTCGTAAGAATTATATTTTATAAAAGTTTTCCAATTTAGGTTTCTCAGGTTTTTATACCCTGCACTTCGTGAAGGGTATATTAACTTTGGTATGGAGTTTGTAACTACTTGAAGGAGTCATCTGCTGTATGGACATATATATTATATATTCTTGCTCAGCGTAAAATTCTACGTTGATTTAGACATGTCCGTCCGTCCGTCCGTCCGATCGCACGATAACTCAAAAACGAATAATGCAATCGACACCAAACTTTCACAAGTTGTTTCTTTTGTGCCAAGGACGAACCCTATTGTTATTGGACCAATTCGGACAACGGGTTCGGGGAGCTGCCATACAACTCAAAGAGTTTATTTTAATTATTTCAAAAACTAATAAAGGTACAAATACAAAATTTTGTATACATGTGTCCAATTATATTCTACATATGCTCTAAAAATTTTAATGAGATAGCTGCACCGGTTCGGGTGGCTGCCATACAACTCAAAAGCAAATTTTTTATATTCGGCAAAATAACAAAGTCAGATTCATGAAACTTGGCAGTCGTGTGTCCAATTATAGGTCAAAGATATTTCTGAAGTTTTGGTGGAATTGCTTGACAGGTTCGAGCAGCTCCTATACAACTCCAAAAGCTAATTTTAAATATTTGGAAAAATAATAAAGACAGATTCATGAAACTTGGCAGTTGTGTGTCCAATTATAGCTCAAAGATATTTCTGAAGTTTTGGTGGAATTGCTTGACAGATTCGAGTGGCTCCCATACAAGTCCAAAAGCTTATTTTAAATATTTGAAAAAGTAATAAAGTTAGATTCATGAAACTTGGCAGTTGTGTGTCCAATTATAGATTAGATATATTAGCAAAGTTTTAGTGGAATTGCTTGGCAGGTTCGGGTACCTACCATACAACTCCAAAAACTAATTTTAAATATTTGGAAAAATAATAAAGTCAGATTCACGAAATTTGTGTGTTCAGTTATAGATCAGACATATCCGTGAAGTTTCTATAGAATGGTTTCACAGGTTTGAGTAATTGCTATACAACAATGAAAGGTGCAGGGTATAATTCAATCGGTTCATACCGACTGAAACGTTTTTACTTGTTTAATAAATTATTAATTCTAAATGGATTTCAGGAGTATTTGCTTTTAATTCAAAGAAATCGTTAACATGTTTTGCTACTTAAAAATATGGTAGAAAAAGTATTGTTAAAATTCGGGTTTCTAAGTGATCCCAGAGTCGTTCAAAAGTTCTTCTGGGAAGGGTTTAAAAAAAAAAAATTTAAACTATGGTTATGCAGTATTGCTATACATAAATACATTGACAACAATTTTACATGCATTGACAAGTTCTCAAAATAAAAAGTCATATTTGTTTTTGATTCAACGCGTTTGAGAATCGTTCCTATACGACACTATATTTAACACGACCTGTTCATCTAAAGAATGCTTAATTAAATTACCTGGAAATATTAATTTTTTTAAGGTTCAAATTATTTGTTTCATTTCTTCTTTATTTTGTTTTGTCAGTACAGTTCAAATTTAACACTATCATTTGCTAAAACGTTTTTAATCATAATAATTATGTCAATTGATTTATTAATAATTATTAAAAATTTTAATTGTCATGCCTAGTATTGTTTTACTAATTGAAATGCTAAATTGCAAATAGGTAATAAGGCAAAACTGTGAAATAACAAATATTAAAAAAAATCCAGAGCAGTTCCTTTATGTCCAAAATTTAGTTAAAACTATATTTGAATTTTGAAAACATTTTGAATAAAATTTAATGAAAATAATTTAATGAATAATATTGCACTTGACCG